TTTAAACCTCTTTTTTTGTGCAGTGGCATTAAATGCTACTTTTAAGGTTAATCTGCTCCAGTAGCTATGGTTGGAAACTAGAGCAGGGGTTTACTCGGTAGTAAAAGTTATCGTAGTAAAGAACATTGGGTGTGGGAAGCCCCTGCCTGTGATGGATAAATCCTGAGTCATTTACTTCATGATGCATCAGCAAAATAATTTGGGTGTGGCTTTGATTTTCAGCTGCTATTGTAACTAGGCTATGAAAGCTAACAGTGGCTTAACCTGATTTGTGATTTCAAAGGTTTTTCTCAGAATGCACACAAAATGCCTCACATATTAAAGTGCAACATCTGTGCATGCAATACTGCAATAGATGTAAGTATTTGAGTAGGTATCTATCAAAAATATGCTGTTCTGATGCTAGTACATTCTCTAATGTAACAACCTTTCCATCCCATAGCAGTAAGCAATGTTATATATGTTTTATTATCTTTTAATGTTTGGCTTAGATTTGTTATTTAGGGTATTTTTACTGTAGGCTTATTGTTACAAACACAACATTTAGTCCTCAGTTCAGATGATGTCTTTTTCTAATGCAGTCAGCACTGCATGGCAAGTGGCACTTAAATCAGCACTGGGAAAGGGTTAAAGAACAAAACTAATTTAGTGGATTTTTTTTTAATCCTGAATAATGTGTATTGGGTTTAGAATGAGACTCAACCACTTTCAATAATGAGAAGAGCTGTAATTAAACATATGTATGCAAGTGAAATAATTTTTAGTATTATGGATCTAAAATAAATATGCTCAGGGAGTTACAAAGGAGGAAAGGATTCTCTTTCTTGATTCTGGAAACAAGAGCTTAGATAAACCTTTGCTATACTGTAAATGTGTAATTACAGTTGAATGCCTTTGCAGTATGTCTCACTGTAGTGACTAGAAAAGTCATAGAAGGGCAAGTGGGGGATTTTGTTGTCAGTCTCTGATGGGTACCTTATTCTTAACATTTTCAAAAAGTATATTCCTGCTAAGTACACTGATTGTTTCTGTCTTCCTTGCTTCACTTGTTAGCATGTTTTTTTAATGTATAATCTGTATGAAGTACTCCGAAGTATAATGGCATTTTGTCTTCTGTCTGTCCTCGAACTGTTTTCCATTTCCAGTGCGCATTTTAAACAAGTAGCATAATAACAAAATGTTCTAGCTGCAAATGGAATGCTTGTCTGTTGTATTTAGGTGGTCTCAGAAAGTGACTTAGAAAAAGAAGAAATGTTAGAAGAAACTTTAGAAATAAGTACAGCATATTGCTAAAACCCCCTGTCTGAGTATCCTCTCTTGCTTTAGATTAAATTTCTTGTCAGTAGCTGGTAGTATGATGGTATCATAACAATAAGCTGAATTATTAATTTTTTTCTTCTCGACTTTGTACATTATTCATTACCATGTCATCCTACCAGAGACAAGTAGAAATAAACAAACACGACTGTCAGACATGAGTAATACTAACTATTGCGGTTATTTTCTGAGTGTTTGAAAGTAAAGATTCAGAAATATGTGGAAATAGATTCCTCTAGAATAATGTGATTCTGTATTAATAGGAAGATGAGATTTTGTATTTCCTTTTCATGCTGTCCACTGAAACAACCTGGCTGTCACTTTACCTCACAGTTTAGCATTAAAACCTTCTCAAGTCTAAATTATTTTTTTTTATTTGTAAATTACAACCTCTTACTACTTGTAAGGATAAACTTTCTGGCATGTCCTGAATTTCTTAAACTCGAAGTGTAGTGTCTAGAATTTGTGCTGAAATGTAAAGTCAGTACCTTTTTTTTCTTTTTTTTTTTTGGTGTTGGAATGTTGAAAGAAAAGGCATGCAGGAATTTTGGGCGAAGAAAATTGGGAAGAAAAAAAGGCACATCCCTCCTATTTTCTCTAACCAGAAAAATATATTTTTTTTTAATATTACTACGGCATTTGCAGGTGGAAGCAGCTGATGATGCTGAAGAATGACAGCATGAATTGAAACCAAGAAACTTTACTCACAGAAGTGCAGGTGCAAGAATGCATGCATATCTGTAATTTTTATGAGAAAGAAGACATTTAGGAGAGGTTTGGGTAAGGATGCAAACTAGAAGTTCAGAGCTACAATTTGTGGGACATCAGAGACATTATGAGATTTAACTGTTTCTAACTTTGTGAAGATAAAAATTGTTTCGTAAGCATTACGTATAACACTAATGTATTGAAAAAAGCAGTAGGATATTGTAATGATATATTGCAATTCTGTAGTTGCATAATTAGTAGTTTTTTGGTAATATTGGAACTTTAGTGTGAATGTGCACATACATAAAATCTACCCTTAAACTTTTAAATTCCTTTACTGGATTTTCTAGCCATTACTTTATATTTCCTGGGAGAAATTTGCTAAATGGTGAAATCTGCTATATGGTGAAGACATCCTCAGCGAGTTATACAGACCACACAGCTTTACAAATGACAGGCTTGTCAGTATCGTTTAAAGTTAGGCAGTATCTAGGACATGAAAATAAACAAATAGCATGTGTTTTTATGTTAGCATAGGCTAATTTATGTATGCCACCAGTGATATTTCTAATAGTTTAATCTATGGATTTTCTGAGCAAAATGTAAAGCTGTGTTTGCTACACAAGCAACCTCAATCTATGGAAGAAGTTTATGATAGTTTTGTTAAGGTTCTTAATCTAATGTCACAAGGGCCTCAACCCACTTCTTACTCAGTGATTTCTTTACCCACACCTTGCATGCTCCTCATGGATTCAGAAGGAGGAATAATGGTCGTTTTACAGCAGAAGATATTTTAGGCACAGCAAAGTTCTTGGTCATTTATGTTAATAAAAATGAGATTTTCCAATGTGAACTTAACTTCCACTAGTAATCTTTTAGGGAAAGAGAAAGCATGTGAAGCCAGAGAAATGTGTTAGAACAGGATTCTTGTAGCCTGAGTACTTTCTGATACACTGAAAGAGGAGAACATTATTCTACTTCAAGAAAATGTGATAAACATCCAAGTTAGATTTTAATTAGTTATCATTTTCTAACTCAGTACTTAGAAAACCGATTTCCAGTTCCAAGCAGGGATTAGAAATTGCAAAGCTACCCATAATTAGACCCTGTAAAAGCCTTCAAAAAATTAATCAGAAGGGACTTACATAAAACTAGTCAGAAGCCTGTATTCTACAGTGATACAAGAACAAATAAAATTACTCTTCCTAGGTAGGGGCTAAAGTCTCATTAACATTTGGAAAGGTGGTGTACTTTTTACTATTTCTGTAGAGTAGAAAATGTACTAATTACAATTAGATGGAAGGTTTTGATGTTGCCAAATACCCAGTAAGAGGGAAGATTTGGTCACGTGATGGCCAAGATGATGGACTTCCTAGATACGATTTCCTGCCTGGAGTGAGCATTAACGCTGATTTTGAATAAAACATTCTCTGGTCACTTACTATTTTGTTTATGTGTCTTCATCTAAATGGGGAAAATTCTGGCTGGTTCTGACTGAAATCTCCATGCTGCCCAACCTGAAGTGCCTCATTTGGGGGTGTTCAGGTTGTTCCAGGTGTGCTGACAGTGCACAACCTCTCTCTGTATGAAAACAGTTTTAAGAAGACAAGGTTATGTGCATTCATTCATACTCCAAGTTTTGTCCTGAAGTTGTTATGCAAATTTAACTGTCTTAAAGAAGTATTCTAGTCTATTATGTTTTCTTTTGCATTTCAATTAAGTAATACTGGTAAAGTGGCATGTTCTACACCTTCTTTTCAGCCAGTCCTAATAGAACACTGCTTTAAAATTAGAGTTAGATACATTTGAAAAAGTACTAAACCATGGAGAAGGGTACTTGGAAAAAAGGTAGGATTGAGTTGTCACACTGAAAAAAATTCCCACAAGGAAATGAGTCATTAACCTATCCTAGTGTTTTGTACCATCGTCATCATGTGAGGGGAATTTTCTGTACCTGTGAGTTGGTACAAATGTTTCAGTTTCAGGTGGTGACTGGACGCTGAATCTGTTGTAACTCAAGCAGAGCACGCAATAGTATGAATTTGCATGCTTTAAATAGGTAATAGTGCTCAAAATAGCACTTTAGTGATGGAGTTAAAAAATCCCTAGAGGTAACAAGTTAATTTGTTCAACTTGCATGAATGATTGCTTCCGAGTTTTGCTGTATGGCAAGCAGTTATTTGAGATTTGGCTATGTCGGTACATGGTCATAGTGGATCAGCCACCTTCACAACTTGCATCAGCAAGTTAATGACTGTTATAACATTTTGTTACCATAGTGGAACACTTTCCACTAGACCAGGTTGCCCAAAGCCCCATCCAACCAGGCTTTGAGCATTGCTCGGGATAGGACAGCCGCAGCCTCAGCTTCTCTGGGCAACCTGTTCCAGTGTCTCACCACCCTCACAGTGAAGAATTTCTTCCTAATGTCTAATCTAAATATACCGTCTTCCAGTGTAAAGCCATTACCCCCTTTCTTCTCACTACAGGCCTTGGTAAAAAGTTTGTCCCCATCTTTCTTATAACCCCATCTTTAATTATTGTAAGGCTGCAATAATGTCTTGGGTTGAACCCCAGCTCTGTCAGCTTTTCCTCAAAAGAGATATGTTTCAGCCCTCTGTTTCTGTGGCCCTCCTCTGGATCTGCACTAACACCCTTGTCTTGTGCTGGGAACTCCACAGCTGAACACAGTACTTCAGGTGGGGTCTCAAAAGAGCAGAGTAGAAGGGGATAACCACTTCTGTCAAGCTGCTGGCCATGCTTTCTATGCAGCCCAAAGTGTGACTTGGCTTTCTGGGCTGCAAGCGTACAGTGCCAACTTATATCCAGTTTTATATCCACCGCTATCCCAAAGTCCTTTTCTGCAGGGCTGCTCTCAGTCCATTCTTTGCTGTATTCACAGTTGTGTTTTATGGGAAACGGGGAACTATTTTAACTTTGGGTTTTTTTATTTTTTATTTTTAATTCTCTTTCAGAATTCCCCACTCTACCAATATCTGCAGGATTTGGGACACACAGATTTTGAAGTATGTTCATCTGCGTCACAGAAAGCAGAGCAATGTGCAGCAGTGGAAAGCCAAAGAGAGCGGACTCTGCATGCTGCCCAGAAAGTGAGCAGTCTCCTGTTCCTGTTTCCCTTCTCAAATGAGAGTTATATTATTTCACAAATAGGCAAAATCAGAGGGGATAAAGATAAACCTCTTGCTGTATTAAAAGAAAAACAAAGCAAAAGAAAACAAAACCAATTGTCATATCTTGTCTGCAAATATGTTTGGAAATGTATGGTTTGCCAGTATAGTTTGGAGTGCATCTTTGCCCTTACATAAGCTAAGGAAGCAAGAAATGTTGATAATGAATTTTGAGTGTTGTAAGTTATCCTATTTACTGGATATTAGTATGTTACCTTAGCATGACATTCTGGGAATAAATCTACCTGAGCTTAGTTTTCCTTTTGTTCATTCCTATTTCATACCTCTTCAGCGATTTTCAAATCAGAGGTTCACAACCCTTTTCCCTTCGTTTGTAACCTCTGCTGCTTTCCTGCTCCACAATGTTCTACCCTCCCAATTAGTTGGCAGTGAGCAGGAGGAGCATCCTATTTTTCCCAAACACAGGTGGTATGATGAATGGTCAGGAAACACCCATAAGGTCTCTCTGCAGGTTTTGGTGGATGGGGGGATCATATGGCAGATGAGGAGAGTTACTGCTTTTCTTGGGCTCTTTTCTCAAATAATGCCATCTTGACATATATTTGCTACTCAGTTCTCCGATGCTTCATGGAATTAGCCAAGTAATAGTCACAAGGCTTTATTTCCACAATTTTTTCCAGTTTTGTGCATGTCCCTTTTGTTCCTCATTTGGTTTAGGTCAGAAGCATTTATTTTTTGTGGGATTTTTAATCTATTGTGCTGTGTGTAGGATCTTAAAGGGTAGGATTAGGAAGTGGATGAATTGATGTGGATAACATCAGTCAGATTTTTTTTCTGATCTGGGGGAAGAATGTGTGGTTTTTTAAATGTTTGCTATGGTATACTTGCAAGCATTGACATGCAGTCTTTGAAGTGGAAATTTAGAAATTGCAGTGGGAAGCTTATTCATCTAGCAGTATTGAGAGGACTGTTGATGGGTCATATTTTCATATAGTGATATTCATTTCAACCACTCCCTGTATAGACTATATAAGCTTCCTCACACTCATTAATCCATTTGAAAAGACATGATGATAAAACGTGAAACATTTTGCTTTGGTCTTCAGTCCTGTTGGAATTAATCTTCAGGCATAGATTCGTCATTGTTTGGTTTTACCTGTGTGCAGGTAAGACCAAGCTGTGCCCTTTGCTTCACAGCCTCAAACCCTGGTTTCTGAGACTTGTCCTTGCAAGTGTGTCATGTCTCCCTTCTCTCATGCCTCACTTTCTGATCAAAGATGATAATGTAGATAAGATGCAGGGTGCATATCCACTGATCAGACCAGTAAGTACTGCATGCCCAGCACATGAATTAGACACCTGTAAAAAATAATCATACTATAGTAAGAACCTCTAAGTTTAGTACAGTTCAGCCATGTCCTTGTAGAGTTTACAGCTTTTCAAAGAGTTCAGTAATCATGTAGAAAAGAATCAGGAAGCAGCTTGATTACAGAACTCCGGTCTTGTGTGCTGACGATTTGTGAGCTCACGAAACAGATTAATTGAGGGGAGGAGGAGAAGTGATTTTTGCAGTGTCTCCATGCTTCCTCAGCTGATTTCTCTACCATAAGATTATTTCAAATTTAATGAATAAATTGATTTCTAGTTACTGTTGATGTGGATAACTGTTGCATTTGTAATACAATTGCTTTTATCAGTGGTCACAAGGAAAGCTGAATTTAATTCAGGGTTTGACTCATAATTTTTTATAATTTAATTTAAACTACCTTTGAAAGTATTCATGGAAATATTAGGCTCACTAGCCTTACTTTTCAGAATTGTCAGTTATTGTCACCATAGCCCTTAAGAAACCACCTGAAATTTTATCTTCCCTTTAAAAGCTATTGGCAGTTTTGACATACGTTTACATTGAAGATACCTACTCTGGCTTACTGCAGGAAGACTTTAATCACACCACTGTTAACTGAAAATTAGAGTGACATACTTTATTGGCTGATTATCTGTTTTGTTATTATGAAGTAATGCCTGCAGTGTTACTTGCTAGCTGCATTACTTTATTTTGCATAGTTAGTTTTGTGGAAATCAGTAAAGCCATATGATGCCATGTTCATGTATATGATTTCCACCAAATTTAATGCAAAAGTGCTGTGGCGTGAAGAACCTCAAAAGGATTAAGTGCACTGCTTTGAAAAGCCTCAAGTATTCTGTTTTTTCCCCTTGCTTCCCCTTAAGCATTTTACACTTAATTTTATTGTGTTGGGAGCAACTGCTCCAGTATTGTGTCAGATGTAGAAGTAATTTGCCATGGTTTGCCTTGCAACTTGCAGGGAGTGGGTGTGTGAAAATGTGCTGTCCATTTCTTACAAATACTAGGATGATATTCACATTGTCTCATCTCTGTCTAGACAAGGATATGTGGTGGAAGAACCCTTTGTGTAACTTCTAGTGATACAGGTTCTTTCTGCTGCTGTTCCAGTACCAGTTTGGGAATGTGAACACTTTTCTTTTGTAATCTGGTGTCAGAAAGTCTGTTTTTGTCATTTGATTTCTGTGTCCCATTTTGGTAGGGTGTCTCAAAAGGAAAGAGAATGAAGGAAAGGCAGCTGGCCACACATTTAAAGAAGTAGACTAGATTTTAGAGGGATCTAAGGCTTTGCTGCAAGGTTTGTATGACACGCAGGCAAATTATCAACATCCCTACCCAATCATTTCCTCAATTTTTTGTGAACAAGTTATCACTTTCCTTCTCTCAGCCTTCCCTGGCCTAATCTACTGAAGTAATAAAATGTCTGCGAAACGTGGTTTCTGAATTCTGAGTATGTACCTATCCATAGTCCTGGTACAAAATGATCTTGCTGAGGGTTAGTGTAGTGCAAAATACAATCACAGGGCATGGATGATGTTCCATGCCAAGTGATGTCTAGTACGTCTATATATTTTCCTTCTGAAAAGCAAGTTTACAAATGACTTGGACACTTTATTAAAATAAAAATAGAAAAGGTGCAGTGTTCCTGTGTCTTTGAGTTGAGGTTGTTTACCCCTCATATATCCAGTCAAGTATGAACCCTGTTGAATACATTCTGGTGGCATGTAGCAAGATTTTGGCAAGGAAAGATGTAGTCTGGGATCTTCAGGGACTGAAAAAAAAAAATCTGGGAAAGAAAGGGTTTCCTAGTAACTGATACAAATGTTGCTGCTGTGTCTTGTCCTGCCAAGCAACGCATGTGAACATTGAGCTGAAAAGTTCAGTAAAGGTGAAGATGCTTCAAGGTTGTGTTCTGAGGGCTGATGAAATGCCAAGCTCCGATCTGAGGGAGTATAGAGATGTGATTTAGCACAGTAATTATAGGTGTTCCTGGCTGTACTAATCTCTGGCGGAAATTACAGTAAAGTTACGGTCTCATGATCACTTGATACTCCAAAGCACAGCTTGCAAGAGCTCCTAGACCTGTTTTCTGGAATTAAATCCTATTTGGATAATTCTGCTTGATCTTTACAGAATGAATTTCTTCCCATTTACATTTTTTCTTTCACAGTCATTTTCTTAGACTGCTGTGCATATCTGAATGTTTAAATTGATTATACTGTCACACCTTATCCCATCTTAGATGTGATAATATTTCATCACTAGAACAGGGCTGGTGCTGTCGGCAGCTACTGGGGATTGTGTTTGGGCTAGCCCTCAGTGGTAGGGCAGATGGCCTGATGTGGAAAGTCAGAGGGACTATTCCTTTGCCTTTGTCTAGGTCTCCCACCCACTCAATGCTAGCTCTTGATAGCTGGAAAGTATTGATATGTAGCATTATCTTCTTTCTGAAGTGCACAGAATTGAAAGGTACCAATGTGAATGAATGATGATATTTTACATACCTGCTAGCTTGCCATTTCAGGTTTATCCTGTGCAGAAGAGAAATAGTCTTTAGAATTTTATTTTAGATTCAAATTAATGTACCTAAAATAGTTTTTATATTTTTATGGTTTTTAATGTTAGGAGTTATACATCTTTGTTAGTTTACAGGAGGGTTGACTGAGTGGTGTCCTAAAGCTGTGAGAAGAATGCTCCAGAAGCGTTGGCAACATGACCTGACTTGTGTGTTGATGAAAGTTGTTTTACTTGTCAGTAACACTCCCAATGGTAATGCAAACTGTGAGACACTAGTTCAAGGATCTGAATAATTTAATGTGTTACTCTACTGTACTGGGTCACAGCCTAAGACAGTGGGTTGTCTTGTTTTGTGTTTTCAAGCACTGACATGCCCGTTGAGTGTTTGTGCAAGCTCAGATTTTTATTTTTAAACTAAAACACAGAAAAGAAACCAAAAGATTATTTACATAGCACACTAGTATGGTTTTGGTTTGCTGGCCTGTTGTTTTGGGGTGTTTTTTTTTGTAATTCCACACTCTAGTTTAATCAGCTGGTAGCAGTTTAAAATTATCCTGATGTAGGTTTACATGTTCATGATAAAAAAACCCAAAGACTTAGGGAAGCTAAACAGTTGAAAATGGGAAGCTCCAGAGGCATCATTTTCAACAGTAAATGGAGAATTTTTCTGTACCCTGCTTTCAAAGTATGGGGAAAAGTACTTCTGAATGAAGTGTCCTGTCAGCAGCTCAAATGCAGAGCAAAGACCTTTGTTTATTTTCTACAAATTGTAATTGGAAAATTTTGTTTTATTTTTCACCACTTCACAAGAAACTTGGAGGATAATCCAGTGCTGCAGTTTGTGACACTCTTCTCGCCTTCCAATTTACGTCAGCGGTCTTGAGCAACATCAAAGTACAATCCCTTGGATTTATTCCATAGTCTAAGAAGTGTGGATTGTCGGGATAGCTCCTCCTAGTAAGCCACAAAGATGCCTGTGTATTGGGAAGAACTATCATTACGAAACCCCTTTTGGTTTGTCTCTCCACTGACCTAAAAATACTTGCTTTTGGTATAGGTCTGCAACTGTAACTGTACACAGAAAGATGAGACATACATAAAGAAAAACTCAACTTAGATACATAAATGGATGCCAAAGTAAGTTATTACAAAAACTGTTGAAGCATAAGGGCCTCAGAGTGACAATTTCTAATGTTTACTCAAAGCTGTTCTGCCCTGGCTTGCTTCATCAAACTTGTGTCATGCTGCCTTGAAAAGGGCTGTCAGGTTTATCACAGCACTGACCGCAGAGCTCCAAGCTCTTGTAGCTTGGTTTTACTCTTCTATTTCTCACCTTATAGCTGGGGGAGAAAAACAAAGGAAGAAAAACCCAAAACAACAGAATGAGGAGAGGGAGTACAAATGTAGATGCTCCACAGTTAATTTTTTGGGGCATACATTTGGTTTGATAGTATTGCATGTCAGCAGTCTGAAGATTAAGAGGTAGGGCCTCAGAAATCATGAAATATGTGTAAGTATTTTGAAGAACACTTCCTGTCCAGCTCAGTCTGAGGGAAGCAGATACACAATGCATGTCAAAAACTTTCTCCTTTTCATTTAATGGTTGCAGAGTGAAGCAATATGCATCTATTTAGCTATAGTCTTTCATGCATCCTATTTTAGGAAGATACATGAGTAAAATGGGTGATGACCAAGAAGGAGTCCCCCTAATTAGTGTCTCATTTACAACTCAGATGAAAGTGTGGGTTCAGTAGGCATGGGAAGCAGCATGGGGCAAAATGCCTGATACCACACACCGGTTGGGACAGGGAGGTTCCAGGACAGTTCCTCTTCTTACGGTCACTCTTCCCTGTCTCTATTCACAACTTCTCCAAAGCCTTGCCCTCAGCCTGTGGTGGTCTGCCAAAGAGAGGTTGTTCCTCTCCTTGTCTTTTCTGCATTCCCAATTAGACATTTAACCTTTTATCCTCAAGGAGAGAGAAGATTTTTCATAGTGATGAAGTGTTTGCCAACTTAAGATCAAACTAATTCTAGCTGTAGTTATTTTTAACAGTACAACATAACAATCCAGTATGCTCCAAATAGGTGGGGTTACTTGAAAGCTTTATTTCACGCTCTTGTGTGCACAAGCAAACTGACGGGAAGCAGATGTTCCTTAGTGTACTCTGAAGTTAGGCCAGATACAGTAAGCGAAACTTCCTTACAGGTACTTGGGTCTGAATTAGCAAGAAAAGCAAATGCAGAATTAAAGGAATTGCCTGTTATTTATTTTTGGCTTGGTTTTGTTGGTTTTTTTTCTAATTGGAGTAATTTCTATTCCCTTCAGCAAAGCATCCTGTCAAAACTAGTTGAGTTCTTTAGAAGCTGGTTTCCTTTTCCACATTATAAGAAAAATGACGATATACTTCACCGACTGGTAAGTGACCTCCCCCCCCCTTTTTTTTTCCATTTACTTTCATAATCCACAAGTCTTCCTCTCCTCTGTACCTCATCCTCTGACCACCGTCTTTGGTCTGTATTATTGGTTTTGGCTCTAAGAGTTTTACTTCAGATAATATTGATTCTGGTTTTCAGAGTTACTGTGCCAAGCAAATTGAGCACACAAGAACAGAAACAGTGTCAGTAGCCAGGTTGAAGGTTTTCAAAATGTGGAAGAGAAATTAAAATAAAACATATAAGAGAAATTAAAGAAACTCTTGAAAGCTGAAAGGTGTTCACCTACAGAGCAGCTACTCTCTTTGATGGAAGCCAGTATGGAGACACTGGCTGAGAAAGTTCAAAAACTGCAGCCTAGTGCTTTGCAGACGCATCTCAAGACAGAAGACTCTAGAGCTTCACCTGAGTATTGCTTCAACCTCTGTTCCACTGCATTAGCTCAGGCATAGCACCACCACAGTGCATATCTACTACCCCTGAACCCATCCTGTCCCATTTGTTCCTGCACTGCTGTCCAGAGTGCTTCTGCATTTGGGAAAAGCTAAACAAACTAAGGCACCTCAGTTGTAATGCTTCCAAACAGTGTTACGCATTAAGAGTGGATGACATGTGTGTAGCGGTCTGTCTGCAGGGAGAGGCAAGAGCAGTCCTCTGTAGTACCTGTGTGCTCTCATCTCAGCAGTTCAGATGCAGCTGGGAGTCCATCTGCCCACCAGAAGTTGTATTCTCCTCCTGGAGCCTGCAGGAACTTTTAGGGCCCAAGTCAGCCTGCATGAGGTAGACTGAAGAGTCACAGTTACCCCACATAGTTAAAAATAGTTTTATGGTGCTGCTACACCTGTTCTCTGCAGTGCCACTTTCCAGCCAGGTCAGTCTCTAGCCTGGGCTTAACTGAGATCTGCTTTAACTTGCACCCAGCTGCTTCAGTTTCCTGGTCTGGCTTGCCAATGTCACATTAGTCAGACTGTCCCAGAATCCAAATGTTAGCATTTTGATTTATTTTTTATTTCTATGATATAGGGATGATGTCTTCAGATGTAGCTTCAAAAAAAAGAAAACAGTTGAGTTCTGCTAAGTCCAATTGCTATCTCTTCTCCCTTATCTCAAAATAACAAAATTTCCTCCTATTAATGATCATGGATTGTCTTTTTTAATTCCTCCCTCTTCCCCTATGAATCAAAGGTATTATCTTAACAGCTTTTTTTAGCCTTACTTTCTTGAGATGGAGACACAACCAAAGAGTACGGAAAACATTTCTCCTGCTGCTTGCTACAGTAGGGTACTGAAATGACACAGGATGCGTCGGAGGAGGCAGAGTTTCCTCTTGCACAGTCCTCAAACAAATGTTTGCTATTAAAAGTAGAATGCAAATATCTCAAGTGACATCAATGTATCGAATTAAACTTTCAACTAGCTATCTTCTAGTTTCATAAAGAATCTCAGTCTGTCAGTGACAGAGCTAAACAGATTTTGTACTGTGAAATGTCGTACTTCTGTTAAAAGCTTCTAATAGAAGGTTTTCAGACATACTCTCCCTCCTGTAATCTAGTTAGATGTAAAGATGCACATGTTCAGTGTTTGTTTTGTACTTAACTTGTTTTGTAATTATAGTTTGGTGCTGGATGCAAATTAAAATTTCAGGGGGTTCTCTAATGGATAGACTTGTCTTCAAGAGTATTGTATCAGTCTTGAAGAGCTGTACTTGCAAGGACAAAAAAGAGCAAATGCTTATCATGTCATCAAATCCATAAGTAATTCTCTGAAGTTTGCCTGGAGTTCAGCAAGTATGTAGTCTTCAGAGTCCCATGCTGTTTCATGTTTGGATTGATTTCCTTTGGAAAGGCACAGAATCCTGCAGGCAAGGGCTTCACTGTCTTGGCTCAGGGCTTGAGTCTAGAGCATTTACCCTAATGTTTTTAAGTATCCACAGGTGATTTTTTGTTGACTAATCTGTAATATCCCTCTTCTTCTTTCTAATTTTTATTTTTAATGATGTAAATTATGTCATGACATCAAAAAAAAAGTGTTTGCACTTTTATTAATGACCTTCTGATAGATACAGTACCTCTCTGATTCTTACACAAATATATTGGCATAATCTGTGGCACTTTTCCAAGTATTGTTACTATCTAGATCAGATCACAAAGTCAGTGCAATGCATCCTGCAAGTCTGAACTGTTAGGGAGTATGTGAGTATTTAAAGTTAAACAGCTTTAATAAAAATGAAGTAGCTACTTGTGATATAGCTAAAACATTCCTGTAGTCTTTGGGAATAGATTGTTGTCATCAAAGTATAGAGTGTCTGGGTGTTTTCCTTGTTCTACTAACTTAATTTTAAGAATTTGCATATTCTCTACTAATGCCTGTTTTTTTCTCCTGTCCATTGGTGGCTAGGATGTTGGATTTCGATTTGACACGCTTCGTACCATCCTGCAACAGGAAGTTCTGCTGCAGGAGGATGTGGAACTGATTGAGTTCCTTGACCCGAGTATCCTGTCTGCAGGGCAGTGTAAGCAACAGGAAAACAGACAGCTTCCAACGCTACGCTCCCTAGCAACTCCTAATATTTGGTATTGTACAGAGAATATGTACCACCATATTCACTGAGAAACAAGCAATAAATATATTGTGTGTTCCTTATATAAAATGCAGCAACAAAGTAACTACTTCTTTTTTCTTCTCAGGTTGTTGAGTCTTTGGTCCACTAGTCCCCAGATTTTTGTATACCCATGTTTTTTTCCTAAAGTGTTTTATTGAAAGAGTCAGTTTTAATCTGAGATAGCTACACGAACCTTAATATGTGCTCTAGGGAAGAACTAACATGGTTGATTAATTCTTGAGTTTTTAAAGTATACAATGGTGATTTTGATAAATGACACATGATTGTGAAGACTGAATTGAAAAGTGCCTACTTTGCTTTGGTCTTCATAAATATGTCGGGGAGGTGTGTGCAGTTAATTTTCGGATGTAGAATACCAGAAGAACAGACTAAAGCATTTTTAAAGAAGACGCATTCAAGCCAGCAGAGGCTGGTGAAATTCACCCTGGAAAATTGAAGGAGCTAGCTGCTGCAGCAGTGTCAGAACAGCTACCACCTGTATTCGAAAACCAGCAAGGACAGTGGGTGTTCTGACAGGGGGTCTTGCTCAGAAATGGACAGGAAACAGTAAATAAAAATACCTCGTAACACAGCCCAGTGTTATGTTTTCATGCTATGTTAGGAAAATGGATAAAATTATTATAAAGCCACAGCATGTTAAAACCCCATATATTTAAGTTGTAATATGTCGTTATTGATTCTGTCTGTCAAATGAGAACTTCTGAAACAGATTTTTCCAGTGCTTTGTCTTGGTCCTAGCACTATTCATTGTTTCTTTAACTGTTCAGATGATAGAGTACACTTACAAACTTTGTCAGTATTGCTCAGCTTACAGACAACACCAAGTTTGTAAATGTTTTGGCAGAATGGAATTCAAAAGTAGTTTTGAGAAATATCTTGAAATCAGTAGAAAAGTCAATAGACAAAAGTCTAATGCTTTTGGGAATGAAAAATCAAATGAACAAACAGGTGGTTAATAATTGGGTAGGCAGTACTACTTCGGAAAAGGGTCTGTACATGGTTGCAGAGTATAAATTCAGTGCTTCAGCAAATTATTGAAAAATGGCAACTCTCATCCTGGTGTCCTTATTAAACGCAGCACGCAGGGGGTTACTTTTCTGTCTGTTTCCCTAAGCCTTGTGTTAGACTACAGCATTTGGTTTTGGATGCCACACTCAGAGAGGCATAGGCAATTTAGAAACAGGCCAGAGCAGAACAAGAATAATAAAGAGTTTAAAAAATACAGTATTTTGGAAACATTAAAGTATGCTGGGATTGTTTGGCCAAAATGGACAAAATTGAGGTGAATTGGGTGAAGCAGTGTTACGATGTGTAGAAGATAGCTAATAGGAAGGTGGTGATCAGTCGTCATTTATTGTGTTCAGAAAAGGGAAGGATGTGAGGAAAAATAACGCAATTAATTTGCCAGTGATTCCGACTGGACTTGGGGGTAATGTTTTGAACTCTAAAGATATTTAGGAGTTGCAGTAGCTTCCTGGGTGGGTTGTGGAGTCTGAATTTTCTTTTTCAGTCTGTCTGTGATGATCTGGATTAACTAGAAACTGAAAATGGACAAAGTGAGCTTTTAACTCTCCAAAGAGACTCAAAAGTCTTTCATTGTTGTGATTCATTTTCTATGTGTGTGATTTTATTTTCAATGTACCAAGCAAGTTGTAGACTATGTGTCTGTCCTTTTTGAAGTTAATCACATATCTGGAATATTTGAACCCTGGACCTTTAATGAAAGCTATCAGTAGCCCTGAAGAATTAACACTTGTAAACTGTGTTGAAATATGACTACAAAACTGTCCAGAAAATAGAAATCCAGAGATCATGCCTTATTTTAGAAATGGGAAAATAGACCTATGTGAATACCTCCAAAACTAAATACAGGCTATGCAGGTAAAGAAAGTGAATGCTTTTCTTTCAAAAAAATATGCAAAAATAAAATAGCTATGCATCTTGAAGCTGATATCCCATCCATCTCTGGACTGTCATGTAAAAAAATGAAACTACGATACTATATATGAAACACAGTGTATTTTCTAACAGTTACTTCTTTTTGTGTAATTTTTCTAGGTGAAAGTAACAGGTTTATGAAGTTTTTTAAATGTCCTTGAGGAGTAACTGATTTGCAAGAGCTTCTAAATTATTTAAAATGATTATACAAGCCATCTTTACAAAAACGTGTTAAAAACTAGCGCTGTGTTGGTGTCCAAGTTAAATGAGTCAGTCTTTAGAAAAAATAAAGCTGGCATTACTTGAGGATTTTGTTACCAAAAGAAACATGCCCTTCCCTACTGTACTCTTGAACCTGGAAGTACAGCTATTCCAATTCCTACCCACCCTGGATTATAATGCTGAGTAGTCAGGTTTTTTCTTATTCTATGTTCTTTTCTATTCTTTTTTCTTTTTAAGTCATACGTGTAGGAGAAACTGACCTTTCAGAGTGGTACATTATTCTTCTCCTTGTGCCATAAAAAAGCCCAAAAAAATGTTTCCTTAGAGTATACTGACCAAGTAGTATCATGTACATATACATGTAAATCTGCCACTAGGAATATTTTTCAGTGTTTACAGCTCCCTTCAGAACCTGTATAAAAACCCCATAATAAGATGTCATAATGGCAGATAAAACCAGAATCTTCATGATTTTGCCACTCATTTAACATCAGAAATCTGTGGTTGATGATGCTTTTTTCTTGTTTACAGGGATGTCTCGCTGCTTCTTGCCTTTGTAAGTGCACTGCTTATGCTTCCCTCATGGTGGAAGGAATCATCATGGCTGCCATGGGGACTAGTTCTGCTTGTCTATGCAGTCTTTCGAGTGTGGGGCACATGGAGGACAGCCAAGCTGCAAATGTCCCTGCGAAAATACTGTATCCAGCTGGAAGAAACAGTGGCAAATAGCCGAGCTTTTACTAATCTCGTGAGGAAATCTCTGCGACTCATTCAAGAGACTGAAGTAATTTCCAGAGGATTTACCCTGTGAGTCTATATTTCCTTTTATTTAATACACAGATCCATTCAAGCCAGATGCCTTCTAAAATTGTCTGGTTACACCATCTCACATAACAAGTGGAATTTCTGAAAAACATGATACTTAAAGCTTCTTGTTCACATAAAATAGTATAATTTCCATTCATACTAAATGTATGAATTCTAACAATTCAGTGTTAAAACCTGGCATCCTGAAGGAGAATTAAGTCTCACCAAACTTTCATGTCACTGAAATCTCCTACTCTGCTATCAATGAAACACATGAAGAAATGGATTTTGAATCAATTTAGTTAAGTATTTTGGGGTGTAATTTAGAGGGCGGTTTGTATGGGGGGGCGTATATCTTTTATTACCAAATCTATGTAACTAAACTGACTGCAAGTAATCATTTGTATTTTAGAAAACAAGATGGCATCATAATTCTATTTTTATTTAACAAACAACAGTCTGAAGTAATGAGAACACAGCAATCAGTGAAGACCATTAAAGCTCATCTTCCACCTCAACTAAAGGTTATGTTACTCATTGAGAGATGAGGTGTTTAAATTCTTAAATTATTTACTGCTGAATTTGCATCTCGCTTAAGGGATATGAAAAAGTTCCTGGTTATTTAGCTCTTGTAGCTGTTTGGCAGTTTTCGCCTATTTGCTGTGTGAAAGGACATGAGAACATGTTTAGTGTATGCAATGATCCCAAAGCCAACAAGCCTGCTTCTACGCACTCTCATTTCCATGTATGCTTTTCACTTATAGCAACCTATGGTTAGATACATACCTGTGCCAGCTAGACTTAAAGTTAAGGAGGGTGGAAATGCCAACAACTAAAATTCAGTCAACTAATTTCTAAAACCAGTAAAAAAATTCGCTTGTGTGCACAAAGGAATTGTTTATTCATGCCAGACCAACTATTCTGTGCTCAGGCACGTTTTTACATGCAGGTTTGAAATTGTAGACTTAACATTTTGAATTAATTTTCTAGCTTGAGATACCTTCAGTATGCTTCATTGAAGAAATGTTTCATTCTCCCTTTAGGATGCAAAAGCATGTCTTCAGTCTGCCTAGCTATGTGTTTTGGTTTGTTTTGGTTTTTTTGCTGAAGAAGCATATAGTTAAGCAATAGGCAGTCTTATCTTTGCAAATGGGTTCTTAAAAGAAGTTATTGTTAGGGCTTGTCCAAGTTACAGATGGGAAAAACATTTGGATTTTTTCCTGAGTTAAAGCAAACAAACTTGTGGTCAGTGTCTATATTGCTCTTGTCTTGTTCTTTTACTACATATCTTAGATAGCAGATTAACAGAAAACAGACTGGTCTTTAAGCTGATGCTTGATCTTATAGCCTCTTTACTTAAAACTTTGGCAAGCTTTTCCAAAGACTTTGAAGTATGGATGGAGTGGGAGAAGTCTGCCTGTGCCAGCTTCCTCATTGGAGCAGTTGTCCAATATGAAGAAGTCAGTGCTGTACAGGTTTTTGTTTGGTCTAGCCTGGAGGAAAGTCTAATTCCAGAGTGTTCTTTTCTGCAACCGTATAAGCAAAAGATGCTGCTGCACAGGGCATCTGAAATTCTTACTTGAGATAGCACTTCATGTATGATCTTGAAAAACTAGTTACCTTTTTTCTTCCAGAATTTTGCTACAATAAACCGTAGCAGAACAAAGTTTTGTATGTTTTCCTGTAGTAAATCTGTCAAAGTCTTAATGCTAGTTCAGAGTCACATGGCAATAGAAATGGTTGCATCTAAAAGTTAATGAGTATCTTCTTGTGTGATTTTACATTCTTGAAGGAATGGGATTTCAACCAGGTACCACAGCGTCCTGTTCAATGTGTGTGCTGCTGTTCTAGTATACTTCTAGCTCAGCATTGTTTGGAATGTGCATTAACTGTGTTGTCAGTGGAAAAATACCAAAGCTGACATTTAAACAGTACTGAGTTCAGATTTTGGCTAGGTGTACTTAGCTCAATATTGATATAGCAAACCCAGGTCTGCAGCTTTGGCCTGAATCTCCTTGTATTCCACTACTGTTTCTTCTCCTTGTTGCACTGTCCTTTGCAATGTTCTTGTAACCTAGTTCACATATGCTTTGAAATCTCTGTGGCTTTGCTTTATTCTGCTGTGTTGCCCCTTGTTAATTGATATTTGACTGTCTCTGTAAACGTTAAATTTTTCTTCATGAGGTTTTAGTCGGTTGTCCACTGGTTCTCTGGTTTACTGCTGTGACAGTGACTGCTGTATGATTAACCAATTCAAGCATCATTTTGCCTTCATTCCCGAAACCCCACAGCAGCCACTTGGAAAGGGAACTAGCAGGCCTTTTATATTAGCTGCTCTAAAAGGCAACTGGGTATTCCGATTTCAGAATGGCCTCCAGAAGTGTTTAACACTATTGTTGGCATTTCAGGGATGTCGCATGGTACAAGCTCTGCATCGTAGAGATGGCTGAGACCTCACCAGAGTAGTCTGGATTACAAAAATTGTGTAGCCAATGTAGGGTAGTGCTATACTCAGGCAGAATGGCACTGTTCCTGTCTAATGGCTTCATTTGTCTCATTGCAAATGATCATGGGTTGCAGCCTGGAATTTCCGCTGGGTAATGAAAGTATGTCCATTGTCTCACACATTATGAAATGGAAGCTGTAGGAATACATAATGAAAGGCTGCAGCAGTAAGCATTGAGTAGTTATTTCCTTGTTTGTCACTGAAATAATTAGCTTTTCTCCAAAATGCTCCCTTTCTACTATATTTTAAACTAGAATCAAGCCCTATGAGCACATATTGGTGTATATAGCATCTTTATAGAACTGCTTTAATGGTGGAGTACAGTAATAGGTTTTTATTAATGTGTCTATACGAGTTTGTTATAAGTTGAGAGCCTTTTTAAAATTTGGCTTGTGAGAGCAATGGAGTAATAAGTCACTGTTCTTTACTTGTAGAATGATTTGGGGCATTAGGAAAGAGGAAATTCGCCCTTAACCTTTTTTCTTCTTGCTATTTGTGGCTGGTATGCAAAGTTGATAACATTTTTTTAAGTCCAGTTAAAATACATAGAAGATAAATAAAACATTAGGAACTTAATGATATGGCATGTCTGGCGTAGACATTAATAGCAAGTTATATTAATTTAAGATTACTTGAATAAAAAAGAATTATTTTATAAAAACCACTGAAACAAGGCCTCCCAGAAGGAAAGCAAATTGTTTTGCTTAATACTGGCAGTACATGCTGTGCATGAGTTGTGCTATATTTGTTCTGTATGGGAGCTGGAAATGCTTATATCGTTGTAGCAGAATGTAGATTTCTTTTTCTCTTTTACAGAAGAAGTTTGCTCTTTGAGCCTGCTTCTGACAGTTCACCCAGGGCTTGAGTCTACAAACTGATGGGAGAATTTATTCATAAACACTTCAAGCTGTTACCTTCAAAAGCTAGGGAAATGTTAAAAATTGGCATGTATTTTACATGCTGTGCTCCCTAGTGAAATGTATGGCAAGACTAGCATTTTAGATTTACATTTAGAAATTGAAATTAACACAGTTTGGGTTTATTTTATTCAGGCTTTAAAGTACTTTATGAGATGTTACATAAACTATTTTAATATCACTCACATCATTTAATATGGTACACAGACATTTTAATGTGGTATTTTGGCTAGCGTATTCAATATACTGCAGTTTTTGGCATGAATCTCCTTGTGTTAATCATGTTTAACATGCTGATATGGGTCCAGCCTTGCTCACTGGGTGGGCTACATTGCTTTTCATATTTGACAGTGAGGCGATAAGCTATTTCCCCTCCCAGTCAATGTGCAGCATGGTCCAGCTAAGCACATGCAGTAGGACTGACATTTTTCCAGCAGGGTCAGGTTTGCTAGCTTAGTCGTCTCTTCAGTCAGATAGGTTATATAAATAGTTCCTAGTGAAGCAGCCCACCTCAGTCTTACCGGGTACCCTATATGCTTTTCCCCTTTAAGTGGCCGAAGACATGAAATCACCTCCTTACCATGCCCTGGGAAAGGTGAAAGCAGAAGCAGGCTTCCAGTCTCCAAACAATTAATCACAATTCATCATCATGTTGTCCACTCTATGTCTGTTCCTGAGCTGACTCTAGTGAAAACAGTTCCAACAAGTAGAGGCTGTTTTCAGTATCTCAGTCATAGTTTTGCCATCAGTCTGTATATGAATAGATATAACTGGATATGAATATTTTTTTTTCTTTTCCTACAGCTTAAAGTTACACAGACATATTTAACATTCACCCAGTTCACAAGTCAGTTTGTTTCCAGATGAAGCAATTTCTTACAGTTCTAAAGCCATTCTGAAGTATATTCTAACAGGCAAATGGCACAGTTTCTTTTATATGGTATATTCACCTGAATATGTGGACACCAAAGTATATACTCAAATATGCTTGTATAGTTGCATACATTTCATATGTTTACCTGTCAGACTCTGACAGACACAGCTGCCATTCATTGCATGATGGTAAAATCTGTGTCACCACTCAAATAATATCTCTGTTGACCTGGAAAAGAGAGCATGGAAAAAGTTGAAAGAATACAGTGGTTTGCGTGAAAAACAATATGTATTAGCACATTTTTTCTGCAAAAAATATTGAACAAATTTGGCTATAAAGAGGTATATGTTAAGCATTTGTTAAAATTTCCAAAGTTTACAGTGGACTTGTGGTAGTTTTTTACTAAAGGTAACGTGGTCTATCCACCCTTAGCGTATAATTTAGGAAATCTTTGGAGAAAATAAATGCTTCCTGTGTTCCTTTCATGTTTCCAAATGAATCCTGGCTGCTTATCTGAAATTCTGATTAAATGTATCATTGATATGCTGGACAACAATATACATTATTATATGTATCATTGATATGATTGATTAGGGTTTTTTTTTTCTCTCATAGTTACTGAGTGGTTTGAAAAAGTTTTCTAAGTAATGGAATAAGAAAGCTGATGTACTGTCTTTTAAAAATACTTTAGGACATCTGTACAGTTGTATCACATTTTACTTTTCAAGTTTGCTTGACAGGGTCAGTGCCGCTTGCCCATTTAATAAAGCTGGACAGCATCCTAGTCAGCATCTTATTGGTCTTCGGAAAGCCGTTTATCGCTCTGTCAGAGCCAACTTCCGAGCTTCAAGACTGGCTACTCTGTACATGCTGAAAAAATATCCTTTTTGCATAACCTAAGCAGTTCAGATATTCCAAGTTACCTACCTGTAATTGCTCCAGTGTTTAGAGTTAGTATATCTAGAAACTGACAGTATTTACATACCTAAACAAAACAAAGAAAAGGTAGCATAGTAAATTGGGATTTACGCTTGTACTGTGCAGTGTGAGAGATTCTGTGCACTGAAAATGTTGGCCCAGTTACTCACACCCGTGCCTTTGGTGTAAGCACTGTTTATGTTTTTCAGAGTCCTTCAGGATTTTGTTTTGTAATTCATCTTAGCCATCTTTCCTTTGCACCAAAATAGCCTCTTCTCTGAGTAATATGGCCTTTCACTCGACACCCCTGTGTTCAAAGGTAAGTTTTTTCCTGGTTCAGACAAGCTGGGCAAAATTCTGATTACATTAGTGAGCCAAAAGGCACATTTAAGAACGAGGAGTTTCAACTCTGAATCAGAGCAGAACACTTGGTTCAGATTCCATTTTGTGACTGTCATCTGTATTTCTTTAGTGAATTGTATACATTCTTTTTAATGTTAGCATGTCAAGGTTTTTTTCTGTGTTTATTGTACTTGCAGTACTATATAGGAAGTAACAATGCCCTCACCTTGAATTGTAGCAGAAAACAGGTATGTTACTGATCTGGAAGAACACATCCAGGGAAACAAAAGCTGGTGGTAATGCGAGCGTTGAAAGTCTGACATGACAAATCACTTCTTTTGTCTTCCTGGGACATAATACTAGACTAATATATCTTGCCTGGCAAATGGATGGATGTACTGAGTGATGACGTGTAAACACGCAGGGGAACACACAAAGCTACTGGTATGTGTAGTCGCTTTGAACGAAATGAGTATTTCTTCACAAAACAGTAACTTGTGTAGGGATAGGCATCCTCCTTGTGGGCTCAAGACTTCATTCTTAGCTCTCAGGAATAAGGTGTATTTGTTATGTCTTAAGAAAGAAAAAATTCAGACAAAAGATTCAGACAGGTTATAAGAGCAACTGATACCTAGCTTGGAAATAATCAAGAATCACTTCTAAGAACATGGGACAAGAGATCTGAAAACAGGGCCAGTTAACATGGCCTTCTTAAGTATCCTCCAGGATGAAGGCTAGCAATGGTTAGGACAGGTCTGTAGGTTGTTGCTGTGGCTGGGGAAGTTACAGGTCAAGGAATATTGGTGTGTATTAGGCTGTCCACTCGTTTTGTAACTACTAAACTTAAGGAATGGCTTTTAAATTAAGGAATGAGAGAGAAGAAAGTTTTGTTTACTTTGGATAATTTGACTTTTAGATCTGTCTTTGAGAAAATGTTGAGATGAAAGTACCATTATGCCACGTTATCACACAGATATCACAGTAGTAAGGGCCAGCAGAAATAAATGGCTGAAAAATTTATGGACATTGCATGTATATAGGTTCTTGACAAATTGAAAGAGAATTTGTATTTGTGCAGAACATCATGGCACAGCTAGTGGTAGCATGTGAGCTGAGATGCAGGCTGGCCCAATTCTGCAGTGCATGAAAACTGAAAAGGAAAGGCCTTAAATGTAAGGAAGGTGAGTAAAGGATTCCTCCTCCCCACCGGGATAATTAAAAGAAGCTTTAAGGTAGTTCCAAGTTGCCTTAGTTTGAATATTTCCCTGTGTATCATGAATGCCTGTAAATGTTATGTGTATTGCATGGGTATATACAGCAAGGGGCATCTTTCAAATAGATTCTAGTGCCTCATGAAATTGAATAGAACTTTTACGCTGGAGGGGCCAAAGATTCCTTCATGTCAAAAGAATTCACAGCTGGCGCTTGTGGCAACTTTAATGCCCTTGTCTGTCATTAGATTGTTAGCAGAAATCTGGCCTAGAGCAAGGAGAAAAAGGAACTGGAGAGATTAAATAAAGGAGTGAGGTGATAAACTGAAGGGAAGGAATGTTGATAAATAAAAGGAAAGGATCTTCCATCCAAAATCTGGAAATGAGATGCCAATTCTGACTTTTACAGTTCTTTTTAGTAAGTTCTGCTTTGCACAAAATCAGAAGATATTCTCAACTTGATATCTTTACTTGCTTCAATAAAACTAGGAGCTTAGCAGTATCTGCTTGTGGCTAATGTGCCCCTTTTTAGCTAGACAGCTGCCTTCAGGGAGTAGAATAAATTACTATTGTCATAATTAAAATTTGTTCCTATGTAAAACAAAAAAGATGCAATTATAATTTAGCTTTATACCAGGCATTTCTATCAAACCTTGGTGGACCAGTAATCTAATGAGATGGAAAGACATATTCCTTACATTTTATGTGAAGGGACAGTTGGGTGCTTGCAGAAACAATCCATCATTTTCTAATGCTCTTCTTATTCTTTTTTGTTCATATTGAAAAGAGTACATTTCTCAAAATCATAGAACGAAGAGAAGGGAGGAAAGAGAAGAGTATTTCTCTTTTAATCTGGAAGACAAGGATATAGCAGGCTTAAACTCAAATTAGGTGTTTTGGATTAAGTATTTACACAATGTTGTGCAGACTGGTCACTACTAGTTCAACAGATCTCTGCACTCTCCATTGAATTGTGTAATAACTCAGGCAGTACTTCAGTTGGCGTGCTAGTTGCTTAATATTTTTATACTTAAGAGCTTTGTGAGTTCTATGTCATAGGAATCTATGCTTTAGTCACTGGTTTAATTATATGCAAACTGGATGGAGGAAATTTTCTAGTTTATTTTGCTGGATTATGTTAATAGTCTCATCTTCAGCTGATGCAAGATGGTGTGATAGTGCATTTCCATTGAATTATATTGATAGGTAGTACCTGGGCATTGGACTGTATAAACTAAAAAAGCTTTAATTTTGTTGTAAGATGTCATTCTCTGAATGCAAAGCATAGCGTTGCAAAACCAGACATTGGATACCAGTATTTTAAAATTAGTTTAAAATGAGTATATATATATATATATATATATATATACCACCTTAACCCATTAAGACATAAATGGGTTAAGGTGGAATATATATATATATCTATGTTTTATGTCTTTGGGGTGCACTGAGCACGGGGAAGATTGCAAATTTCCTCTGGTAAATCTAGTGAAACATTTTTCCTTCTCTGTTAAAATTTAGTTATTGTATCATGAAATGTTAGAAAAACACATACCTTTTAACTTGGGAAAGAGAAAGCTCACACAGGAAAACAGGAAGCTAAACAAAAAGCAGTACCCTCTTTGGGTCATAAAAGCCTAAATCAGAAATCTGATGCTGGAAAGCCTGAGTAAAGAGACTTGGGCAATTTGCAGTGCAATGTTTCTTCCTTGACCAGCTGGTGCATCCATTCTTGCCTGGTGAACAGGTGATAATTTCATAAAAAGGCAGTTTGGATTTCTCAAGGATATTGTGAGGCCCTCCTGTTAGATCTTTAGATGGGAACGTGCTCTTGAAGAGCAAAGTCTGAATATTAAATTGCTACATACAGGGTACATTATTGTTCTTGCTTTTCTGTAGGCAAATAAGAGTGGCCTCCTGGCAGAGTTTAGACAGTCACTGTATGGATATTTTATTCTGGATTTAATGGTTTATTATTAAGTAGTTTTGCCTTTTCTTCTCCCATGCTAATAAGAGATGTAAGTTAAACAGATGAATGAAACATTTTCACAAAGACATAGAAAAATTTCATGAACCTAAGGTTAGTTACTGTATTTTGGCTTTAATAGAAAACATTAGCACTTAAAATACTTGTGGTTTAGAGCAAAGTGCATGAAGGAAGTGTGTTTGTGTATATGTATGTGTTTGTGTGTATGTGCTTAAACTTTCTAGAGGTTTCCTCCTTAGGAAGCTAATAGTGGCATGGGATCAGTTCTCTGCTTTCATCTATCCCATAGTAATGGGGGTGGGAGGTCTGCAACAGTGGAAGGCAAGGCAGGCAGGTGCTGGAGTATGCTGGGAATCCCTAGTTGAGACATAGTATTGATAAGAGACTCCTTTGGTCAAACCACTCATTTGAAATGTTGCCTGGAATTTTTTTCTTAGCATGACTTAGAAATTCATGTGTCCAAACTGCTTTTAATCGTGTTCATGTTGTTGGAAATGTCTTCTTGCAGGAAAAGATTAACAAGGAACATAATTAGTCTGAGATAACTGGTCCTGAAGGGTTTTGACCTGACTTTTCAATCTCTGACAGAGTTAACATCCTCATCCCATGTGCTCCATCTGCTGGGCGTGCTGTCAGGTTAATTGACAATAGGCAGCATTCATGTGAGGCAGCTGCTAGTGGCAACAATGATATTAGCTCCTAATTAATTTGCCTTGCAGGTTTTTGTCTGAACACTTTAATAGGCTTCTTTCTTCCTAGATTTCTTTTGGGGATAAATTAGGGAGAAGTGTGTTTGTTTGGTTAGAACCTGAACACTTGACATTGTTCTTTTCTGGGATGCAGAATATGATTTTTTTAATGCAAGGTGCTCTTTCTCAAGTGATAAAAAACTTCTTGAGTAAACCACTTTTACAGATTCAATCTTACGAGAATTTAGCACGCCAAAAATTCGGGAGTAAAAGCAGGTGGGACTTGTAGCTTCCCCAGAAAACATTAGTTAAACAAGATACGGCTTTATGTGTACCAAGAGATGAAAGCATTCAGTTTTCAAATTGAAATATAAATGAAACAAATATTTTAAATTAAAGCCTTATTTTCATGCATGCTTTACATGTATATATATTGCTTTAAAAATATTTTTATATAATATATAAAATATATATATAATTATATATATTTTGCTTTTTATATATACATATATATATTTCTGTGGAGCAAATGTGCTTATGACCGTAAGTTATAAGTTCCTATTTTAAAGCAAATTTTACTGTTTTGAGGCTGGGTAACTATCCAAAATGCACAGAAATCTTGAACTGTTCCTCCTCCTCCTTCCCCAGCACGAGGTTAGCCTAAATTAGAGCTGTTTTAAAATAAATGCTGCCTAGTCAATGAATTATTTTTATCTGTCTTCTGGTCTCAGTGATACAGTGTTTGTTTCCTACTTATTAAGCTGTTCCGGGGACTGGAAATGTACATTTTCTCACTTAGAATTTAAATGTGCTGAATGGCATTGATAACAGTTTGCTGCTGTTCCTGACAAGATCATGGTGGCTTTACAGCAATATAATCAATAAAATTAATGGTATGACAATTGGGAGCTCCTGTTCTTCACAGTACTATCTGGCACGTCAAAGACCAGTTACTGTGAGGAGTCCCTCCACAGACAGAACTTGCAGGGAATTCCCATCATCCTGAGTTTGATCTGTAGCATAGGCTACCTTTTAGACTTAAAACTGCACAAGTGTTTTCTTCTTTCCTCTGTTACATATATAATTTATGGTTTATTTAAGGTGGACATGAGCTGCTTCTTGGAAACAATATTTCACAATATTTTCCTTACTTGAAAGGGATGCAGGGGTCTTTCATCAATCTGTTTTGTTTCCTTTTATGTGTTTGTATTTACACATAGCTATTTTATCAATGTCTTGTCTCTCATCCTCCTGAGAGCCTTTAAAACTTGTGCTTTGAATAAGGATTGCAAAATGTTCAATTAAACACGATTCAGATGGATTTAGGTGGAATGTAGGTGCTTTCACACAAATTTCCAGAAATAAGAAACCTCATTAGGTGTTTTTTCCTTTTCTGTGTGCTTAATGGTGAAGTTGCTTTGTTAACCACCTTAACTCCAGCTAAACCTACCCTCTGAACTCGGAGAGTGACAACGTGACCAGCTACATCTGTGTAGTCCCCTTTAAGGAGCTGGGTCTGGGACTGAACGAAGAGCAGGTCTCTGAAGAGGAGGCACACAATCTAACTGATGGCTTCAGCTTGCCTGCACTCAAGGTAACCTCTCTGAGAAGGACACACACATCCACACAGGCTTCTGGTGAAAATCTCTTTCAGTTGTCATAAAGCTCTATGGCTTGTGTGTACTAGCCTGTAGTCACATGGTCCACTGAGGAGGAGATGTAATCAGTCTCATGTATTTCTAAATTTATTGGCATATAGGCTATTTCTTTTTGCATGTGGTTGAAGAAAAGTTGCATAATCATAGAATGGTTTGAGTTGGAAGGGACCTTAAAACTCATATAGTTCCAACCCCACTGCCATGAGGAGGGACTCCTTCCAGTATACCAAGTTGCTTAAAGCCCCGTCCAACCTGGCCTTGAACACTGCCAGAGATGGGGCAGCCACAGCTTCTCTGGGCAACCTGTTCCAGTGTCTCATCACCCTCATAGTGAAGAACTTACTAATATCTAATCTAAATCTACCCTCCTTCAGTTTAAAATCATTCCCACTTGTCCAGTCCCTACATGCCCTTGTAAAAGTCCCTCTCCAGATTTCTTGTAGGCCCCCCTCAAATACTATAAGGTTGTTCAAAGGTCTCCCCAGAGCCTTTTTGCCTTCAGGCTGAACAACCCAAATACAACATTAGGATTAATTTTTTTCTGCAAATTATGTAAATTCAAGTCAGTGTTTTATAGTCAGCTTGATCAATCTTCTTAAACATATTTTTTTGCTCTGTGATTGCATTTGATCCGAGCTGAATAAAATGATTTCCAAGTTTGTACTTACATCTTTTTTAGCTAATCTCCTGACTTCAGTAAAGAGATACATCAGGAAATACAAATTAATTGTAACTGCCACAGGGAATAGCTGCATTTAGTTACACCAAAGAGTAGAAATCACGAGCTTGAACCCCTGCTGCCATGAGCCAGTGTGGTTCTTTGATCTTTGAAAAACATTTAGCTGAAGAGAACATCACCATATTGTGGCCTTTTAATCTATTTTGGTTTGAGGTGCTAGGTGGTTTTAATTTGCATGTGTCGATATTTGCAACTGGAAAGAGGATCTAATTTGAATGCAAGCCTTTGACACTCCAGTGATTCTCTGCTGATGCAGTCCCCTTTTAACATTATTTTTTTAAATGGAAAATTCCATTATTATGTTAACTTCTGTGATTCTGTGGAGTTGGCTTTTGTTTCGTTTTATTCACTTAATTCCTAGACCTTGATTTATTTTGTTGTGACAGTAAATGTTACCAGTAATAGCAATTGCCAAGCTTTGAGGCTTTGTCTGATTAGTTGTAAGCTAAGAGCTACATCAGATGTAAGCCTTTGAAATTTTTTTTCTTGCCGTTTCATCAGCTGAAATTCTAACTGCAACCATGAAAGCCCATTTATTTACCCACTTCTTTTTAAGCACAAGAAGCTGGTTAGAAGTGCCCAAGCTTGTAAGCTAACTCTACCTGCAGTTTGCTGTAATTTAGCTGTAATCAGTTTTAGTTAAACTGGTTGGGATGCTAGTAAATCTCAGTTTCCATTAACTCATAACAGATGGTGATGGCTGTGTGTTTTGTAGTTGAACTAAGCTAAATTAACATAAATCAGTCCTAAGCAGATTTATGCATAGATAATAAAGTTGATATACTTTGATAATGTTGGGACATATTTGTGTTGTGAGCCCTGGATTTATGCGTAGTCCTCTTCAAGTTCTTTTCATTTGAGAGAACCTCTATTTATATTAAAATGCAGGTAGAACACAGGTGTGTATCCAGATTTAGTTAATGTTCTGATTTTCATTCAAGCCCATGTCTAGGCCATATGACAAATGTAGCCTGTGTCTTTTGGCTACTCTGTCTTTGAACTAAATCAGTTTGAAGAGTACAAATGCTTAGTTTAAGGAAAAAATACCGATTCAAGCTGAGGAGAGCCAGTTGGATATTTGGGGTGAAGTTTAAGTGTCAGTAAAAATCATCAGAAGTCATTGGCAGCGCTAGCTATTTGCAACCCTAAACACATCTGGAATTCCCTTTTCTGTCATCATTGTTCCTTTTTTCAGGTAGGTTTTGGATTATTATAAATTGCTGAAGTGCACTACTTTTTTTGTGCTACTTTTCACTGCTTTTGCCTTGTGTCTGGTGAAAGGGGTTGGTCATCTTTTGTGCTTACTATAGCATGAGCTCTTGATTTGCTGTCCAGGGCACCGCATCTTCAGGGACACATGGATGATTGCTGCCCATTTGTTTGCTTTTTAGTTTAGCAGCCAGCCAAATCAGTGTTGCGTGTGTGCCCCAATTAATTTCTTATCATTCTGTGTTCTTTCTTCTCATAACCACCTTTTGTAAATTAAAAAGTATCTTTTTTCTTTAGAAATTTCTGGTTTTGTTTTTAGTTTGCATCCAAGTATTTTTGATATACCCTTATGGTATATCAAACCACATCTATCTGAAGGCATTTAATCTTTTATGTTACTATTCTGAATGTTTTGCTCTTGATTTGTTTACACACTGGAAAAAACTGCTACTTGTCCACAGTAGTGTGAGTACAAAATTGTAAATATAGTATTTCCAATCCTGTAGGTCCAGAACCTCAGAACAAGTAAATTCTTAGTCCTGTTCTGCAGCTGAGGGGGGTAGGGTGGAAAAAAGCATGATGAATAATTACTTTGTCTTCCTTGGTCTGGAATGCTTGAGAACAGATTTCAGACTACAACTCATACTCACCTACAGTAGATGCCTTTTAATAAGGGCTGTATTGCAGAGAAAATTGTCATAACCTTTCCTTTTCATTTTGGAGATAAAAGATTCTACTGTTCTGTCATGGGGTACTGAGCCAACAGTCTCCTCGAAACTAAGAAAACAGGACTTTTTATTGCATTGGAAATGGGAGTTCTCAAGAAGTTGAACTAGTGGGTTTCCTTGCTCCCAGAGGAACTTACCTCTTTTGTACCATATCTAACATTGTGAATCAATTCATTTCTTACAAGCCTTTCCCTCCTTAGTGGAATTGGTGAAATTTTCACTTTGGTGGAATAAAAATTGTCATCTTGGTTTTCTTCAGATGTAGAGTTTTTCAGTGAAGTACAGTGCAATTAGACTTGTGTTTCAAGGTTGGGTGTGGGGCAGTGCAATACTCAGTAGATTGTAGAAATGATAGCTTGGCATCATAAAGGAAAAAATGTCTTAGCCACCACTGGAATTTTGGCAGTCCTTTATGAGCTTTAGGGTATGTGGAGATTATAGCAAATAATGAAGCTGCCTGATGAGGAATATAGGGGTTTAGGCCTCTGAGTATAATTGCATATAATATCCTTCATCAAATAATTAGCAGTCACCTAAGGCTTGTGAGATCTGAGCCTCACATGGTCTAGGATATTTTTTAGAAACATTCAGCAGATTTTCACAGTTTTTCAGAGGTCTTGTTTCTGGCTGAGGAATGTTTTCCCATGTGTATCTGTACATTTACTTTGGAGGCTGGCTATGTTCCCAGGTGCACAGAGCTAACACTCCCCTGTTTTGCAGGTCCTCTTTCAGCTCTGGGTAGGGCAGAGTTCAGAATTCTTCCGGAGGCTGGTGCTGCTCCTCTCCCCAGCCAACGCATCCCCCAAGCCCTTGGTCTCCCCTGAACGGCTGCCTCATCATATTTTGTCTGATGTGACTCAAGGCCTACCTCATACACATGCTGCCTGCTTGGAGGAGCTCAAGCGAAGCTATGAGTTTTATCGGTACTTTGAAACTCAGCATCAGTCGGGGTTCGAATGGCCAACCAGAACAAAGCAGAAGTCAAGAGAGCTGAACAGTCTTCAGACAGCAGTACGCAGCTTGCAGCTTCATCTCAAGGCACTGCTCAATGAGTAAGTTTACACATCAGTTAAGCAGCTATGCTGGTAGGAAGAAGGCAGATACATAGAGTCATTGCAATCACAGGCATATCTTCACATAGCATGGAGTCAAAGATCCTTGGTTCAATATGGAATCTCATACTGTTTCCTGGCTATTCTTTAAGTGTCTGATGGAAATTCAAAGCTGAGCAGTGCATTAAGATCTTGCCTTGCTTTTGTCACTCCCTTGAAAAAAAATCTGAAAGCATATTTACCTTTCATTGATTTTGCAATGTATCAAATGCTTTATAAGAAAGTTCAGCTCATAGTAACTACCTAGTAAATATTTTCAAAGATTCATTCAAGTGAAAGACTTGAAACTGCCCTACTCCTTAAATCTTACATGTAAGAGTTACTAAAACGAGTGGAGGTGAGCAGTGTATCTTGATGAGGAGAAAAGGATCTTATTTTTAGAATTTTGAGGCATCTTTGAGGAGTTGGCCGAGTTGGGTTCTTGAAACTTGAAGAAAATAACAGGATATTAAATGGAATTCTTGGAGGAATGGTGAAGTCGTATTTATTATCACTTATTTCTGTTCATCTCCTCATCACCTAGGGTAATAATTCTTGAGGATGAACTTGAAAAACTTGTTAGCACTAAGGAGACACCTGAGTTGACAACAAAAGCCCATCAGGTTCTGGAACAGAAACTGAAGTTCATTCAGCCCCATATGCAGGCAAGCAACAGCTGCTGGGAAGAAGCCATTTCTCAGGTGGAAAAAATGAGTGGAAGAAACCCAAATAAAAAAGGTAAATGTGAGAGATTAATTTAGCAAGTAACAGGATACACTTTAGAGATGCAATGGTCAAATGGATCAAAGGCAACATTCAGCCTGCATATCAGAATTGTAGCTGAAGAGGGTCTAAAAACCATAGACTTTAAAAAAACATACATAAGTCAGACTTTTTCATTGTGATGACCTTGAAGCTTTTGTTTCAGCAAAAAATGTGAACATGTTATTCACTGTTAACATTAGTTAGACACAGGTCTAATTAATCCACAGTTAGACCTGTGGATTCAGTTTGTTACATTTCCAGGTGTAGACAGGTAGTGGCTTTTTGCTTTTGACTGATGAATCACTTGTGAAGGGGTAGGATTGTGATGAATCGTCCCTGAGATTTTCATTTATTTACTGCACAGAAGTTATGTAGTTCATTGAAATGACAGTGGCATTGTCATGAAACTTTCTTGGCAGTGACATTTCCTGGAACATTTTAAATTGTAGAGTATGTATTGAGCATAAAATACCCGTTTACCTGCTCTCTCAGAGAGAGTGAACTAATCTGTATGCTTGCTAGTCAAACCAAGCAGCATATCCCAACGTTTTTCCCTATGGCCCTCTCCTTAGATGCCATTTTCCTTGTGAATCCCAAGTAGCTTAAATAACATAAGTGAACATAGGCTCTCCTGACATGGAGTTGAATCGTAATTTCTAATCTTTCTTTTTTCCAGGAGTTTTTTTACTGTCCTAGGAAGGCATGGCCCAGCATCTGAAAAATGCTAGTAATGGAGACTGCATTAGGAAAATTGTGACTTGGGGTATCAACAAGTTACCTACAGAAATGCAAAACTGTAGTGAGCTAAATTCTTAATGATATATGGGTGAGCTGTCCATTAGATGGACAAATATTGCTATGAACCATGCAAGCTGACCTTGTCCATGCTCACATCAGAACTGGAGCACTGGGAGGCCTAGTGCTGGTTCTGTGCAGGTTCAGACATGATATAACCAAATTTATGTGTACTTTGCCTGATAGTCTAGTCTTACAACTCCCCTCTCAGTGCTGTGTGAAACAGTCTTTGAGGGTATTAGATGTAGTCTGATAGATTTGCGTGTGCTAGCCTGTTGTGTTCTGTTGATGCCCTCCGCAACCAGCAGTTCCACTGATGTTTTTTTCCCTTTCCTTAAATGTTCTCTCTAGACTGCACACCATGGTATTTTTAGTTAGTTTAGTTTTATTTTTACTTTGTGTATAAATTTCACAGCAGGCACTTTTATTATAATTTGCTTCCTTTTAAAGTTCAGTACAAAAATAACCTGGTGTGTGATCTAGAAGGGAGGGATTGCGTGGGAAATAAAAAAATCCTTCACTTTCACTTTGCCCAGTGATTTTTCCTGGAAATATGCTGGGGTTGAGTCTCTATTTTACACCAAGTTTACTGAATTACTGCACAGGAGCTGCTTTTAAATTATGCTAGTCACTGAAAACTATTTTTATTTGACTAGATTTGACTTTCCTGATATATTTCTAAGCAGCTTCTGTGAGTTGAACTCTTCAAGCTGTGCATGAAGTCAAGACCAGCCACTAAGGAGCTGCTGTGACCATGAGCTATCCTAGTTGTGGAATCCTGTGTAGCTGCCTGTCACTTATTTTCAGAACACTTTTGCATCCCTTTAATTGTCTTCTGTCTAAACAGATGAGTCTCCTTCAGCAAGCACTACATGCTTCTTGCCCAAAATCATTCTGTGTCAAAGCAAGTTTTCTTACAGCTATGTTAAATAGTTCATTGTGTCAAACTCTGTCAAAGCAAAGCCTTGAAGTCTAACTCATTGAACATTCATACACTCCCATCGACTTTTATGGGTGCTGATACTAGTATATAATATAGTATATGGTTTAGTGAATGCCGTTTGGCTTCTTTGTTTACAGGACTTGGTGCATTTCTAGAATCAGTGCTGTTAGTCACTGAGCCTGCCACAGAACAGAGCAAGTGGGGCTTTAGCACTTCTAGGGGAATTCACCTTTACTTAAATTCACTGGTCAATGATAGACTTACCTATCATTCATTTACATGTAGGTTTTTGCACATTTCCAGTTTGAGTTAGTTCTAGAATTTCAGCTATCTTCCCTTTATTCTCTCACCTTTCCATCATATTTAAAAATCATTTACCACCTAAGGCCTTTGACAATTCAAGCATATAATAATCTGCTGCTAATTTTACAGAGCAGAATATTCTTTATGACTAGTTACAGTGCTGTCTTAATGATCTTTGAAATAATATCCCTCAAACTGTTTAAATTCCATCCTTTTTCCTTTTAAACTGTCTCTATCTTTGCCAAACTTCTTTAGAACTTTTTAAGATATTTGTAAGAGCAATATCTTAGTACTCTGCTGCAAGCTGATGGATCTTGCAGTCCTTTGATCCACTGGAGAGGAAATACAGCAGCAACAGTTCTAGTTAAACACTGCGGATTCATGATCTTGAAGCATATCGTTAGCAATGGCAGCATCCCATGTAGGTGGCAAACACAGCAGTCTATACATATTACAGCAGCTGGTTTACTCCTCTGATTTGGGAAGGCAAGCTTTTAATTAGTAACTTCCATATACTTGTCCAAATTTGTCTTCATTTTTTCAGGAGCATATTTCTGTTGTTGCTGTTATTATTATGAAAATGTTTTTATTACAAGACAGAGTTATGCAATGGAGGAGGGTGTTTGATGTTTATAAAATAGATTTGCCAATTTTCCACTTCAAATTTCACTACATGCTTCATCTTTCTTTAAAACTTTATGTTTAGATACTTCTAGAATGTCAAATCTTTAGCTCAGCCCAAACGACTAGGGAATTACATACTTTCATTGTTTGCAGAAGCAGATTACTGAACACCACTAAAACTGTCATTGGTATGAACAGCCTACTTTCAGAATATCATCCTTACATATTCACATATTAGAAATTGAAAATAGGGATAGGTGGGGCTTGGCAAGGGCATTTAGCCCATTTCCCTTCTGAAGGGTAAATTAGTGTTTGTGAGTAAATGTTTTTACCTGTTCCTAAAAACCTCTATTTAGAGACATTTTGCAGTATTTCCAGGCATCTATTCCAGCACTTAACTCCATTTCCAGTAGAAAGTTATTACTTTGGATCCACCCACAATGGAAATCCATTTTCTCTTTATATCTCTTACGTTTTTGAAGACAGTTAGTATGTTTCTTTCTGTCTTCTCTACATGACTCTCTGTCCTTTAGCTCCTCCCTGAAGATTATACTTCGTCCTATGATCATTTCCTTAGTTCTCATCTGGACTCCCTCAAGTTGGTCCACAATATTATTGAATGAAGGAACCCCAGAATGGGCGCTGTGTTCCATCCACAGCCTGATCAGTGCCAGAACAGAAATGTAATTTGATGTGTCTGATGGTCAGTGCTGTTGTTTATATGTATTAGTATGTATTTTGGCTTTTTTGCTTGCAACAGGGTACGGTTGACCACTAGGCTCCTTACATCTTTTTCTCAGTGGAGCTGCCCAGTCAGTTGTTATTGTGACAAATAATCATTTGGTTGTTCTAAAGCACAAGAATTTGCAGTCACTGTCACCAAACTGCTGTATCTGAAATCCAGTTCTTCCTGGACTGTATCTCTGATTTTCCAGTATTATTTTTTATTCTAATTGTGCCCTTCAGTATGCTTGCAGGTTATCCTGATCTCAGCAGACTTAATGGGCTGAAACACTTTTTCAGCTATTGGAAATATTAAAAAGTACGGGGCTTGAAACAAAAATCCTCACTCATTACATTGTTCCTGTCTGAAAATGGTAACTACAGTCTGCTTATCCAAGAGACTGTTCTAAGCAACTGATAGCAGTTTCTCCTGGCCATTTGCTTATGAGCATTTCATGACACTGTATCAAAAGCCAAAATGAAATGCAGAATGTCTTTGGCTTCTTTTTCATAAAACCTGTTACTGCATTGGAAAATGAGATTAGAGCAATTTGGTGTCTTCTGTTCTCAGCAAATCCACACTGGCTGTCACTTACCTCCTTGCTACCTTCCAGATAGCTTCTGGTAAACTTTGCTTGATTGTTTCTTCCAGTATTTTCCAATTATTTGAAGCCCGTTTGCCTACAATTTTACTATTTTACTTCTCTTTTTAAACTTTGGCCCTGACTCTGTTTTCTGCCTTTACCAGTTTTTCCTGGTAACAAGGAAAACATCTATAGTTTTTTGCAGTATATGGAAGTTTTGAGATCTGTTAGTTGAAGGGCTTCAAGATGAGTTTCACCAGACCCAGCTTATAGCGAGACAGCCAAGTTATTCAACTGCTCTCTAGCACAGGGTTTCAGTGTATTCTAACCAGTCTTCTCACCACTTTTTTCCTAATGAAAATGCCTGGGCTCTGCCTGAGTGAGTCAAAACCATCATTCAACACTCAGTCTTTTTCTTTTTTTTTTTTTTTTAATCCCTTTTCTTTTTTCCCCTTAAAGGCAAATCCGAAGTTTCCTGTGACAGCCTACAGCGTACTACAGTACCTTTAACACAGCCTGCCATATACATAGAAAACAAAGATCCAATCCCTGAAGAGCAGGTAAAAAAAACCCACAGGATCATTTAAACAATAACTGGGACTTGGTTGCTGTATCCATTCCTTTTTCAGTTGCTTGTGCAGTGACCTTCAAGACAGATAAGTAGGAATCCAGTGCCATTTCATAATTGAACTTAGAAAAAAAATCATGTGTATTCTTTTTGCCGTTCCATGGGGAGGTATTCCCCATCCTGGAAAAAGAAGAGCACCAGCATTCACTTCTCAGATATATCGTAAAAAATAAGTGACAAAGGAGACCAGCAACACAAGTCAGAGTAATACAGGAAATATGCAGAAAAAAAAAGTGAATTCCTAGAAGGTGGTATATAACAGAGTCCTACTTGCATAGGTGTCCTATGCAGAGTCCGACTTCATAGATGAACTGACACAGCTGCAACATTGACAAGCTTCAGAACAAACCAGCCTGACTTTAGTTTAAGTGATCTCAGCATTTTTGAATATCTGAAACAGACTGTGACAGTGAACAGTTTTGTCTTGTTTGGGCAACTCGTGAGTGATGGTTGGGCTGTCTTCAAGAGAGGCTGGCCTCCTCCATCCCAGAGCTGAGTTGCAGATGCATTCTGAGAGCAGATTGAACACCCCTGCTCTGCTCTCCCAAGCCTATCCCACATGTATTCTTTCTAGATTTTTTTCCACATCAAAAAGCTGGGACTAATTTTACTGGCTGTCTGTTATAACATAAATGAAGCTTCATTTTTAAATGCTTGTAAGCCAATGTAGTTAAAATTGGCAGAGGAGTTTGCTGTTCTCAACATCCACCTAATAAGGATTTACATAAATTAAATTACTGAGATGCCTGACTGAGGAAGAATTACTTATGGTGTAAATTAAAATAAAAGGAAAAAGAAAAGAAACCTGCATCAGCATTGCTTATTTCCACCTGTAGCTATGGGGAAATGGACTCCCATTTTCAAGGTGTTCATTTGATCATACTTGTGTATGAAATTAAATCTCAGGTGACTGCAGTAATGTTAACCTTCAATGAGTGGACTTGCTCCAAAATTATGCAAATATGACTGACAGCAGTGTCATATCCAGTGGCTCTGCTAAATTGGGCTCCATCCTATTACTGTGGTTGGCTAGTGTTGAGATCACTTGGTTATGATTGTAGGTCAGCGTCTACATCGACAGTGAAAATCAACATTTTCTTTCTTTCTTTCATTTTTCTTTAGGAATTGGAAGCATATGTTGATTATTCAGATACAGAGAATGAATACAGAGGAGAAGATTTTTACTGCTTTTCCCAGGAAGAAAGAGAGAGACAAGAACGAGAGAGACAGGAATCTAAGAGGGTGTTACAAGAATTAAAATCTGTGCTGGGATTTAAAGCTTCAGAAATAGAAAGACAGAAATGGAAACAGCTGCTGTTCAGTGACCATGGTAAGCATTGCTTTTGAAAATTAATTCCTTTCTAAGAAAGGGTAAGTGTCTGTCATCAACTTCTGACTATGTTAGTATTTGGACAGTGCTTAGCTATAGAAGTGTCTTTGATAGAGCTGTGTGCATGAGCTGTTCTATCTCTTCATATTACTTGCAGCAGTCGTTTTACTATACATTGAAAACAACTCGGAGAAATGGGAATTTGACTGTACAGATAATATTGAGCTAAAATACTTAACACATAAAGTATTTAGACAGCATAAAAGAGAACTGTTAGGCTATAAACCGTGCAAACTGAGCTTTCTTTCATGGCTTTCTGGTAAATAAGAATTTTAATCAGGGCTCGTAACTAAATTACTTTTCAAAATTTAAAGGAACCACTAGAAATTACCCCAGCCTTACAAAAATACATAGGTTAAAGTGAAGAGCTACACTTTGAAATATTAAAGGCTCCTGGAAGAGTAAGACTGGCTTTTGTTTCCATGAGAGGGTAAGTATACAGAATGTGTCTGCAAAAACAAAACATGCAAACAAAATGCAAACCCCAAAAAACTTCCCAAGAAGAGTTCTTCCAAACTGGCCTTGAGGACTGCTGGGAATCTCCATCCACTTGCACTTAAAGGCAGGAATATGAATATTTCTCTTGCCTCAACAAGACAGTCTGTCTCTGTTCCAGCACTAAGCCTGGATACAACTTCATTCCTTTAACTGCTTGAGCTGTTTGATTTATTATCTTTAAAATTGGCAGTAGTTTGTATTTTCCTTTTTCTCTTCTTCCCATTTTCATACCTTCCTCTTAAAGACAGGTTAGGAAAAGCCCTTGAAAAAAATATTTCAGGTTCTGTATTATGAAAGACAACCCTGAAGTCTGGCAACAGATTCCACCTCTGCCAGTGTCTACCAGAAAAAGACCATGGATTGCATCTCTCAGTAATTTAGTGGGAATACACAGTAATAGGCCATACCTATTTATGAGACACCAAACCCCCAAAAGTATCTGTTCTTCACAGCTTTATTCTTTATGTCAATTTAGCGACAACTGTGGTAAAAGAAGTCACTTACCCATTGGTATTGACTTCTAGCCGAATTAAAAACCCTAAGACATCAGATTGCATCAGAGTCTGCTCAGGGGTAGGATTCCTCCCGTGTAAGATGTGACACTCTTCACATGAATCTCCTCAAGTCTTCCCTTCCTCCCTGTTGAAGAGAGAAGGAAGGAATCCTACATCCAGTTCAAGTCTTGACAGATCTAGTGACTGTTGCAGAGAGAGTTCTTGTCAGGAGAGATTCTGCAGGACATTTCCTTATCTAGCTCAGCAGCTGGTACCTGTCCACATCAGCATATCCTCAGGCCATTTGTGGCCACAGCTGGAAAGAGTCCTATAGTCTTAAGTAACTCTTCCCGTGAAAGCCTTTGGAGCTCATGTTGGTTCCTTTCCTTTCCATGTATAGATATTCCATTGTTTTAGGATTAGAGATTCAATGGTGGGGAGGGAGAAAAGTGTGATTTCCTCCACCTGCCTAGGACTAAACATTGATTACTTCCATTCTATACAAGACTGGAAAACAAGAGGGCGGTTCATGAAAGTAATTAATACTTTCTCCTTTTGGCTTGGAGTCTGTGTGTGTCTAATCTGAAGGACTGATATGGACAGCAGACATAACATCTACTGATTTTTAAGGAATTTCTTAATTATTTCTTCAAAAAAATCACAAATCAGTTAAATCACAGTATCACAGTATGTTAGAGATTGGAAGGGACCTCAAAAGATCATCTAGTCCAATCCCCCTGCCGGAGCAGGAACACCTAGATAAGGTTACACAGGAACGTGTCCAGGCGGGTTTTGAATGTCTCCAAAGAAGGAGATTCCACAACCTCCCTGGGCAGCCTGTTCCAGTGTTCCGTCACCCTCACTGAGAAGTTTATTCTCAAGTTTAAGTGGAACTTCTTGTGTTCCAGTTTGTACCCATTTCCCCTTGTCCTGTCATTGTTTGCCACTGAGAAGAGCCTGGCTCCATCCTCGTGACACTCCCCCTTTGTATATTTATATACACTAATAAGGTCACCCCTCAGTCTCCTCTTCTCCAAACCATAGAGACCCAGCTCCCTCAGTCTTTCCTCATAAGGGAGATGCTCCACTCCCTTAATCATCTTAGTTGCCCTGCGCTGGACTCTCTCCAGCAGGTCCCTGTCCTTCTTAAACTGAGGGGCCCAGAACTGGACACAATATTCCAGATGAGGTCTCACCAGGGCTGAGTAGAGGGGAAGGAGGACCTCTCTCGACCTACTAACCACCCCCCTTCTAATACACCCCAGGATGCCATTGGCCTTCTTGGCCACAAGGGCACAGTGTCGGCTCATGGTCACCCTGTTGTCCACCAGGACCCCCAGGTCCCTCTCCCCTACACTGCTCTCTAACAGGTCGTTCCCCAATCTATACTGGAACCTGGGGTTGTTCCTGCCCAGATGCAGGACTCTACACTTTCTACGACATAATGGACCCTGGCATGTTACTGCTGCAGACTTCAATTTATCCATATACAAGAGTCATTCCTTAAAGAGACAATTTTGTGAGCTGTGCTTTCCACATTTCTGGCTTGCTTTATCTTCAAGCCTTAAACCCAGAAAAGTTCATCTTCTTGTCTCCATTGGCCCAAGCCAATAGATGGCTGTGATACCACACTATTTCCATAGCCCTCTTAAGCCTTGCTTTTACAGGATGATCACATTCCAGAAACCCTGTGTTCTCTTAACTTGTGATTATTGTGAATAAAGATCCTGAAATACTCAAAAGCTTTAATTTGTTAGGCACATTAGAAAAGGGTCCCAGCAAGCCATTCTGGTTTGTTAGGTTTATTTGGTTAGTTGAAGGAGGGGCTGGTGAGGGTTTCCACATGAAAGAGGTCAGCTCCAAACAAGTTGATAAGTCTGAAGAACACAGAACACAGCATGAAGTCAACTGGAAATGATGGGCTGGCTTCTAGAAGAAAAACATCACCTTAGTAGACCACCAGACTAAAGCAAATTTGCCCAGGCCCAGCACCATGGTAATACTGCTTACTGTCTAGGCAGTATGTGATTTAGGGGAGCATAGGTCCTTTGGCATCCTGTTGAGGCAGTAAAATGGAAGTGCTTTTGAGGAGGTATGTGAAGCTGTTAGTGGCTTTGTTTTCATTTGTCAAACATTGTAAAAAATTTTCTTCTGGTGCAGAATCACCTCAAGGCTTTCCCCTAACCTCTCTCCCCAAAGAAGTTCATTCTGTCAGTGGCTGTGTTGCACCCAGCTGTTCTCCCTTCTCCCACCTTGTCCATACAACAGTTCTTGTACAGCTGTTTCTCAGATTCAGAAAGCCGCACTCTTGAGAGCTGATTATTGCAGGTTAACTCATCATTCAGCAAAGTGGCCAGCTGCCAATCTGAGGTATCTACTTTTCAAGAAATTTTGGCTTTGGAAGTATTCTTTGGAGGAAGCAGGCAACAGGTTTGCTTCCAAATGATAAGTAAATATTGCTATGCATATTCCTGCCTCTTCAAGCAGATGGGCAGAAATAAGCAGCAGCATGTTTTCTACAAGAGGGGGAAAGAACTACCCCATTAACAACAGAGGTGAGTCTGGTGCTGTGCTCCTTCTGTGTAGAAGGTTTTGAAGCAATGAGATATGAATTGGAAGCCACAGCCTTTCAGTATGCTAAATGACACAATTATCAGTGTGACAACCATAATGATGTGCCTGCCTTCAGCTGGCTAAAGATTGCTGAAATAAGATGGGATGGAAAAATCCTAATACCGTAAACTTGTGTTTCCCGTGAAAAGTTTGTGTGTTTCCCAGAGTTATTTTCATCTCTGCTTACAGGGGTAAAGTCAGAATGGAATTAGAAAGGGAAATGCTACTTGGGAATCTGCTGTTGCCACTCTCATTTATGTTCGTGCTGCTATTCTAATGGAGCTGCTGCAGTTTAGGGAATCTGTTACTTGGAAATGGACATTATATCGTTTCCTTAAAAAGAAAGACGTCTGTTCTTCAAGAAGTGATTGTACCGAGTTGTACTAACCCTTAACACTGGGAGGAGAGACTTCCTGGCAAGCATCCCGTTGCTGGCAATGGGGCTCACTGCTGCTACTAACTTCAAGAGAGGCTAAATTAAACCACACTTTATTTGTGAGGACACCTTACCTGACTGTATGAATAAGCGTTGTATTTGCATGTTGTGGTGTATGAGATCAGATATTGCCTATAAAGACTTTGTCATGTACCACCTGTCTTTACTGGACTAGGTAAACTGTTGTTTAAAACAAAGACAGTTCAAGTCTCTATACAGTGCAGTTGGTTTTCACTTTAACACTGAATGCATCATCGGTGTTTGATGACGGGTTTAAGCATCATCAGTTTCGTGCTGTCCCTTTGCATCACTGATTTTAAGAGTAGTTACAACAAGTAGCAATCACATCTCACTTCAGCTTTGTAATTAGAAAACACTCTTTTGTTTTACTTTTTTTTCCTTGTATTTTTTTGTTTCTGTTGTTACGGAGATTTTTTTAGGCCATTTTGATCCTTACAACCTTGCATCTCTTGCAGACACAAATAAATTATTTATAGATGGCAGCTTGCTTTTATCATTTAATTTTTTCCCCTTTTTAAGCTGCAGTGAAACCCTTGTCTCCTGTAGAACCGCTGAAGCTACTAAATAATTTGGAATCACATACGAATTCAGATACAGAAAAGCAGGACTGCAGCCAAAGTTGTGATAAACCTGAAGAAAAAGACTCTAATCCAGAAGAGAATGCTGCTGATAAAAGCAGTACAGAATATTTGTATGAAGATCCTGAGATGGAGAGAAAAAAAGACAGTACTGCTGATGAAGGTATTTCTACAGGGGCTGAAGAAAGAATGTGTTATCAGCATGAAGGGGAAGTTGAAGAACTCGAGCAGAGCAATATGGATGGAATAGAGGTTTCACGGTCTCCCTCTGAGGATGCATTACATTCAAAAATCAAGCATAGGCTGGCCCAGCTCCACATATCAACAGATTTAAACTTCACATCTGGTCTGGCTGCGCAAGTTGCTGCCAGGTCTTTCACTTTTACTACAATGCAAGAAGAGACTTTTGGAGATGAGGAGGAGGAGGAGGAAGAGAAGACACAGCACTGTGAAGACCTGGTAGAGGACTGTAAGAATGAAGATAGAGGCTCTGAAAGTGAAGGCAAAGTGTAAGTCTGAGCTGAACTTTGTTAAACAACATCAGGCAATTTGATGGAAAAAACTAAGGTGGGAGTTTGAAGATGAAAATACTTGATGGAAAAAAAGGAGACCTCAATATAATACATCTTGTTCCCTAAGTCTGATACACTACATAGGACACTTCTAAGTATATTGAAAATTTGAAGGTAAGAAAGTTTAGGCTGCATCTGAAAAATAGTAGGCTGTTCCCTTTTTTAAGATCCTAGTGGAGGTTTTGGAATTTACTTTTGTGTTTTCTGTTTTATTTATTTATATTATAATGTATTGTGGGGTTTTGTTTCTGAAAAGAAAGAAAAACAATGTCTTGAATTACATCAGACTCTGGGTTTTTTTTCTCTCTGATTCTGTTGTCGTGGTATCAATGTTTGCTCCAACAGAAAAGCCAGGACATTTCTATTGGAGGAACCTGAACTGTTCCCTGTGGTCTCCCACCACCACTTTTGTTTCACTTCTTGTGTCTGCAGTGCGTTGGCTAAGCCACCATAAGCATTTGTGATTCTGTGGCTAGTGATGTGGCTCCCAATGAAAATGTAGAATTTTAAATAAAAACTTGAAACAGCTAGTATTTGATGTGTCCTGGAGTATGGGACTGAAATAGTGTAGTCATGCTTCATATTAAGGTTTACTTAGAATTTTATGAAGGGTTAATAAATAATTTCTACAAGTTGTAATTCATGTTAGAGAAATGTGTAGTATGTGTTAGGGAGGGCTGTAAGCACACCAGTAGAAAGTACTATAGACAGTTAGAAGCTATCTGTTGGACTGATAATAGATGATAAGTAAATACCTATTTATTAAAACAGCTACTGATTATTTGTTAACCTTTTGTAAACTGAACCTTAATATAATTGTTTCATTTGATGTAATGATTGTGTTCATTTTTGTTTATGTCCTGAATAATTTTCTTACAGCAAAATTATCTGAGTGCTTAACAGTATTTTATTTGAACAGCATACTTGGTTTTCTCTATTGTTCTGTCATTTTCCTTTAGATCACAACTGTAACCTGTGTGATCAAGAATCCATGAGAGAACAAGAACTGTGTGTTTTTTAAGGTGTAACTTGTAACATAGTTGACACTGAATCTGGACGTTTGGTGTTACGTGGGTTGGTTTCTTCCCTGTGGTGGTGTTACGAGGAGCAGTAAACTGGTGCTTACCCCACAGAGAAGCTGGTTAATGGTTTCACTGCCTTCTCTTCCTTTCGCCCCAGACATAAGATGAAGCAAAGGTCTCATGTCTCAAATGACGAGAGAGCCGCCTCTTTGTATGGAATACTCTGCTTGGACCTGGATACATTCCCAGTCACAAAGCACCTCATCAGTTCCTTAGGAAATTTATTGTCTCTTGCTGATTCTGTAGAATAAAGAGGGGGTTAGGTGCAAGTGGTTCTGAGCAGTATCTTTTCCTAGGATGGGAAGTGGGGAAGCTAATGAAGGTCAGCAGGTTAGGGTGGAAATCTTGACTGTATGTCAGAAAACAAGTGCTTTCTTTCAACCTCCCTCTCTTTTAGTAGTGATTTTATATGAATACTGTTAAATATGTGAATTTTTTCACAGACTAATGTGGTAAATGTCAAATGATAGAGAAGGAAGTATGTGACTTACACTGTTCTTTAACAGTGTAATGCCTGTCTTCTCCCTCACAGACAGATTTGGGGAAGAAAATGTTTTGCCATTCTTCATTAACCAGTAACACTGTGTTTGTGCCCTTAGTTTTGTGTGACTGTAACCTGAATGGATGATGTCTTGGGGAACTTGTAAAAGAAACAAAAAAGGTGTTTCTTATAGTGTATTCAGACGCTAAGCCTCCTTTTAGTAGTATATTCTTCTGTAACCTGAAAAGGTTAGGCTAAGATGATAAAATTCTGTTTTATTTTCTCTGTGGTAAGCGATTTTTTTTTCTCAAGTCTAGAGCAACTGCTTTGGATAAATTGTTTGAAGCATTGTCCATGCTTCTGAAAAAAGAAGTCTTCCTCATCCTGGACTTGAGATTCTTGAGTTCACAAAGTGCCCAGATATTTTTTTGTTCCTAGTTAATCGTTCTGACTGCCTAAATGTATGTTCCATTAATATTTTTGTATGAACTTGTCTACCAGCATCTCATGATCTGATGTTGTATATCCCAGAAATGATACTCCTGAACTTTGCCCATGGGATCCAAATCTTAGTTTACAATGTGAATGGCTATGATAGCAACCTGGAAAAATGATCAGATTTAGGGCACGAATTATCTGTCCCCATTGTTCTGGATTAAGTGAGTAGCAGCCTGAGTGCTTTGCATTGCTGCTAAAATAGGTTCCAGATCTCACGTTTATAAAGATTGCCACCTCTTTACTCCTTTGCTGCAGTCCTTAGCAAAAGTTTGGTGGCTTACTTGGGATCTAGTTTTATGGTACACAGGTCTTGGTAATGAAACTGGCCTAAGAAACCCCATCCGTCATTCGCTGTTCATTTCCACTCCTCAGCTGGGTCAACACAGGTTTTTTTGGCCATGTTGTCAACCAGCTCATGAGTGCACTTGGGGTCAAAACCCCACCCTTTTTAGGGCCTGCTGCTCATTGTTAGTACTGTGGTGATGCAGTTCACAGCATTTATCTCCCAGCAGCTGTATCAGCCCAGAATGGGTGTTGCTGATGTGAGGCTTAGGATTGTTCATTATTGGCAAAGATGGTGTAGTGAGAAATTACAGCCTTGACATTAGAAATGGACATGAGCAAAGGATGACTTTTTAGAGCAAGTTCTGCTCCTAGTTTGAACAAATAGATTTTCTACAAGCGACTTAGCTGATTCCCTATGGTTTTACTTAATGCAGTCTTAGAAGCTGCACATACGAACACCTGGGCTCACTTGCTTTCTCTGCCTCTCATCACATCTATATATAACAGCCATCAGGTCATTTGTTTTGATTTATTTAATATCCTCCCTTCAGAAAAACATGGCTGACAGCATACAGCACACAAAGCATGGCCTCCCTTGATTTGACAGCCAGGTGCCATCTACATATAAATAGTCTTTTATAATCAGATTTCCTCATAATTGTGTCATTTGAAAGGACTGTGTATATGCACTGTACATTCCTTGAAGAACTTGACACATTTCTTGGCAATCATAATTTATTGTTGCTCTTAAAATAATATATATGAACACACTGAAGCGTGCGTTTAGCACTAAAGAGTTGTGTTAATATATTGAGCATGTCGAGGTTGGAGTGCTCTCTCCTGTATTATTTGGCTTGTTACCTTAAAAAGGGATTTTTGTAAAAGCAAAACATTTACTTCTTAGAGCTTTTAACTTCTTGAAACGTTAAGCAGGAAATCCATACTAAATAATCGTTACGCCAAAGGCAATCAGCAGCCAAAATTCTTTGCGAAGAGCAGAGCTAACAATAAATGCATTTTCCCTATTCCATTCCAGTTAGCAGCTCTGTGAAGTTGTAAAGAAGCAAGTAATTACAGAGCATTAAATAATTTCTTCTCCTCCTGTGTCTACCTGGAATGCACTGCAGTGATGGCGTTTGCTTCTTAGGTTGGATTGCAGTATAGCACTGCATCTTTTATGTCACAACTTCACAGCTAAAGATCTAGTAAAGGCTTGAATGGGAGCAGAGATCTGTGAGAAGATTACTTGTCCCTTTTTTAACTGTATGTCTTTGTGACAGAAACGAAACAGTGGTGCAAATTTTGAGAATTACAGATAATGGAGCATCTTTCAAACTGAATCAAATGTGCCTGTGTCAGCTAAAAGCAAGATTTACAAGTGTGAAGGCTTCTGCTTTTGGTTGCAATAAAGAGAGTTTTACTCCTGACAGAGGAGTAAGCATAGTTTTTTTCTTTCTTTTTTTAAACAGGGAGTCAAGTATCCTAAACTGCCCTTGTTCTTTCAGGTGTTTAGTAAAGGGCTGCTCTTGTTCTGCAACTGGCTTGTTCCAGGGCTAATTGCTCTTCAGAATTAACAGGGTTTTGTACTGTCTCATCTGAAAAAGTGGGCAGTGTGAGAAAGGCACTTGGTCAGTGTAAAGGGTCAGGCTACTCTGGGATCTTATTTGTGACAGGGACTAATAGAAGATGCTGAGGGAAGAGTATAAGAAAAGGGAGATCCTGTAGTGATGTTTCCCCAGGCTACTCCCTAATAATTTGTGGCTTTGGGACTTGGTGAGCCAGTGGTGGTGGCTGTCAGCTGAACAGGTCCTGGTGGAATTCTCTGCCATAAATTTGTCCAGTCTCATGTTTGGTTAATTATTACTAGTCCCAATGCCAGTATGTGCTAATCTTTATTACAACCTTCTACAAATGAGAGGATTTGTCGATAATGGTTTTTATCTTTCTATTTTAAACTGAGTAAGCCCACTTCTCGCAGTCCTTCCACAGAGTTTTCCATCTTTTAGTTGCTTTCCTTAGAAATCTGTCCAGTTTTTGAAGTATAATGACCAAAGTGTGATGCAGTACTTCAGACATAACCTCAGCAGTGCTGAGTATGGAGTAATAATCACCTCCCATAAAACACTGAACCATTCAAATACAGTTGAGTCCATACAGGGAAAAAATCTTTTCAGATCTTTTACCCCTAGCTAGCAGGATGACAAATGAAAATATTTGGTCTTACGGAGGAGAAATATTTATTCACTGTCAGCAGGATTTGGCTGGACAATGTTTTTCTTTGCTAACAAAACACAAAGTTGTTAAACCAAAATGATCTTCCAACAGCTGCCACCTGGTCTAAGACAAACTAAAGATGCCAAACAGTACTTGTTTAAATTTCAGCTTGACTTTTCAGAGCTGTTCTGGTCTCTGATGAATAAGCATGTATGACGAAATATATTATCACACAAGAAACATGGTGGTGAATATATGGGTGTCAGGTCAAACTGAAGGCTTCTGTGGCTAATTTTTAAGATGCTTGGAGTTGTGCTTTATTCATATTCTCTTGACAGTTAATTCCTTCACATATGTGTTTTTGCCACCCTGAATTTTAAATGCCAAAAAATACACTTTGATTTATTTGACTTGGAAATTTGTGCACTAATCAGATAATTGGTACTGTAGCTGTGATAATAAGACAAGGCCATAGGTAGGGGTGAAATCTACCTACCATGAACTGTGCTTTGTAGACAGATATAACAGTATAGTTTGAGCTTTAGATCCGTATGTAACCATTACTGATATTCTGCCTGACCTTTCATATTGCTATCTCGTATGTTATTGGCAGATTTGTCAGAATAAAACGTGACTCAACAACTTGAATGCTCTATGAGCCCACATTACACTTTCTGAATTGAACATAGGATTTGGAAGATGTGATTGTAATTTAGTAGATGAGGAAAAGGAGTTTGTTTCTCTGCTTCAAAGTGGCTTATTTTGAAAGGGTTGAATAGGACCAAAACTTGAATTCTTTCACATGCTCAGCATACTTTGACCCTTATACCTTCTCAGCTTTTAATGTTAAAGGTCTCATGAACAACCTGCTTTAGGGATGGAGTTCTGTAGGAGCTTAAACCAGTCCAGGTCCACTCTGCCATGGCCTTGCCAACAGCCGTGAGATTTCAGTCCCTCCTTTAGGCTGGCTTTTGGAACCACTAAGTGATTTAGGGTATGGATCTGGCTGGAAATGCACCACTGCTTTAACTTTGAGCTGGCTCCCTCAACTAGTACCTCATTTGGTTGAGGGAGTACTATTAATGTGTCAGGGGAGCAGGAGGGGATACATGCCTGGCTGATAAGGAGGAATGCCATAGTGCAAATTTAAATCAGTCATTTAAATAATTCAAATTTCAATTTGAATTAATGTTTACATTGATTAATGTTACATTGTTACTGTCTGTACTCAAGTGGGATAAACTCAACTCCGTATTGTTGCTTCCTTCATATTTTCTGTTGCTTGAGGATGACGCCACTCATTGTTGTCCTCACTCATTTTGACTCCATTTTTTTGTTCTTCAGGCCTAGGCTGCTGTGTCTGATTCCACAGAGTCTCTACCAACTGTTTATTATACTGCCGATAAAACTGGAATTATCATGCACGGTTTTTTCTGCTGTTTTCATCCTTCTGGTCCCTCCAATGCTCATAGTCCTCTCCCTTTACCAACACTCACAAGAGCTTCTGATTTAAAATAACACACAAAGTCTTTTTGTGTGTGTGTGTGTGTAACACAGCTGGATTCTTCTGGATCTTTAGCATTGCAATGATCTTAAGGTCCTTTCCAACCCTAACTATTCTATGACTATTTCTAGAAATGTATACTGGCTTCCCCACTTGACTTGAGAACTGAAAGAGAAGGCAGGCACCACAAAATGAAAATAATAGTATATAGTGGCTCAAAATTTATGCCACATTTTTGGTGTATATTGGCTTTTATAAGTCATTCTGACTTACTGAAAAACACCAGTTGTGTTTTCGAAGGAATGCAGTTCTAGTACAAGGTCCCAAAATAAATGTCAGTAGTTGGCTTGAATTGTGCTCAAATCTTAATATTTAAAGTCTGCTTCCTGACCTTCTCCAGCTGCATGGAAGTGAACTGAAAATCATCTCAAATTTCCAAACAGAGTGACCAATGCTGTCATTACTTTGTGCCATTAAAAAAAGGTCCATTTCTAAATAACGAGTAAAACTCAGTGCCCAGGATCTTCTGGAGTCATTACTCACAGAGATTTGTGTGATTGGTCTGAACAGAAGCACCATAAATGAGTTTTCTTATAATACTACTAATAAAAAACCACTATAAATATATTACAGGATAGAAGCCAGAAATCTATGAATTGTCCTCCAGGTCTTTCATCCAAAGCCACAGCTGGTCAAATTTAAACAAGTTCATGCTGTCTGTTCCTGCACTGCTCGCTATGACGTGCTCGCGTTGTACTCATTTTTAATGTCCTGTCATGAGTGTTCACAGACAG